CTTCCCTCCAACTTCTGTGTGCACACGCCCCCATCTCTACACAGGCCCTCCCTCCAACTTCTGTGTGCACATGCCCCCATCTCTACACAGGCCTTCCCTCCAACTTCTGTGTGCACACCCACTTCTCCCCCAGCTAGACTTGCAACCTCCTTGGGGGCAGAGGGACCCCCCTCTTGAGCCCCCTGCTGAACTCTGCACCGCACCGTACCCTCTGTAGGGATTCAGGAAATACTGACTCGTAACTCGCCTAGCGTGTGAGTAGGGCACCTGAGGGCTTCTAAAGTGACTCTGCGCAATGTACAGGCTGTCCGCCCAAAAGTGTAAACCCGGCTCACCCTGTTGGTGTTGATGTACTCTTTTTCACACAGTACAGAGAGAGAGAGAGAGAGAGAGAGAGCACTTTGGACAACCTCAAAATAAGGTCCCCTCCAGCTAAAACACGTGGAGGCCCTGTGAGGCAGCAACTCCATATTTGGGAGCCTGCACTGATGGGGTTGGAAGCTCTTGAGCATCTGTTGGGTCACTGTTGAGTGCTTCAATTCTGTTTATTTTAGCCAGAAGTTTATTTGTTGGTCCCTTGGTTGTCCACCTAATAACAGTGAGAAGAGGCATTTGCCAGGCACTGTGCTAAGTGCTCAAGTGAGATCTATAAAACTTAGCATGCAGCAAGGTAGGTTCCATGGTTTATCATCTCATGGGTGAGGAACCTGAAGCTCAGGGTGGTGAAGTGACTCGGCCAAAATCACACAGACATTCAGTGGCAGAGCCAAGTTGATGTTGTGCTGCTGGGATAGTGTGTCCTCAGCAGGCTGGGAACACTATAGAGTTAATGACCTGGAAGGCCGGTGTTGTATCACGTCCACAGAGGTATTGGATGATATCGGTGATGGTATGAGAGCTGTTTCCAAAGCTCTGCAGGGCTTGAGTGTCGGGGAGGTAGTCACCCTGTTCTGAGTGTCCCCGGGGGTCAGAAGTGTGACCCGTACGGTTGACATACACGACTGTGCTTGCTGGGAGCCCCATGCCCTGATGAGGTGGGCCTGTGACCACCTGGGTGTCCCGCAGGAGCAAACGGAAGCCATCGGGGGCATGCAGCCGGCCAAGCAGCAGGGCTGGGCCAGGCAGCCCGTGCTCTGAACCACCGTGCCATCTCGCCTCTGCCAGAGGACTCTCGTCAGGGAGAGAGGGACCGGGACACAGGTTTTAAGAACCAACCACCAGATCAGTCTCAAGATGGAGGTCGGGGACAGGTGTGAGCCCCTCCTCTCCTGATGGGCACAGGGAGAGATGGGAAGTGGCGGGGGGGAGTCTGTGGACCCGGTGGGAGGCTGAACAAGGTGGCCTCAGAGGCCACTCACGTCCTTGAGTCTACATGCAGCCAGATGGCGGTGGCACCCACCCTCCCCCGCCTCCTGGCCCCGGCCTCCAGTCCCTGGGGCCCCGGTGGGCCACCCTGGTAGTGCTCACCTTCCTTGCAGTCGTGCTTGTTGTCGTGGAGGACGAAGCCGCTGCGACACTGGCACTCGTAGCTGCCGAATGTGTTGACGCAGTCTTGCTGGCAGCCGCCGTTATCCTTGGAGCACTCGTCCTTGTCTGCAGGGGAGCAAACAAGGCGGGGCCCGGGTCTGTGCGGGGCTGAGGGCCGGGTGGTCGCCCCAGGGGCAGCGGGAGGCTGGCTGGGCTTCCTCCCCCCGGGGGGCCCAGGCCATGGTGGTGGTGGTGGTGGTGGTGGTGGTGGTGGTGGTGGTGGGTTCCCGGGCGGTGCCTCCAGCGGAGCCAGCCGAGCGGCCCAGCTGTGGGGAGAGAAAGTAGAAATGGGGTGGACGGAGGGCTGGGGGCTGGAGCTGACCAACGTGGGCACCCTCTACCATTACCTGCTTACTGGACAGACGGACAAGTGGAAAAACAGACACACGGACAAGCAGACTGCAAGAGAAAGGAGCAGGACGCAGGGGTCCCTCTTTTACTTCACAACAGGAAATGTCACAGACACCATCAAAATGGGAGGGGGTGGGGGCGGGGAAGGTCCCCTGTCCACGGGAGGGGGCGCAGGGGGAGAGGAGAGCACCAGTTCTGTCCGGCCAGAGGAGGGCAGGCCGGAATGGCAGAGCGGAGGTGGGGGGTGGGCGGGCACTGAAGCCCCCATCCCATTCCGTCCAAGATGAGGTTCCTGAGTAACAAAGGGTCCGGGAGGCCTGGCAGGCCTCACTGGGGGGTCCGGTTTCTTTTCTGCACTCGGAATTTGAGCTGGTGGGGGCGTCCCCGAGGGGGCTGCAGAGCCGGCCTCTTTTCTGAAACGAGAGAGAGAAGGAGAAAAGGGACCAAGGGGTGGGGGTGGAGGGCAGGGGCCAGGGAGGGAGAGCAGTGAACACCAGCCCGGGCCTCGGAGGCGGAGTCACAGGGCAGTGCGGGGAAGGCAGTGGGAGACACATGCGGGGCGGCCATGTCCGGCGCAGCCAGCTCAAAGAGGAACAGCAGGTGGGAAGAGGCACAGCGACAGGGGACAGATGGGGAGAAAGCCTGTGGCAGGAAGAAGGCCTGGAGGGGTTTGGAGCCGTTGTTGAGGAGGTGAGAGGTGGAGCTGGTGAAGGACAGATCCAAGAGTATCAAGTGGTTTGGGTCCCCAGTGGCTGGGGCCGCAGATGGGCACGAGGCCTGCACACGGGGAAGGAGAGAGACAGATCTCCGCTAGAGGGGGGCAGCCCGCAGAAAGGGTGGGCCTGGCTGACAGCTCCGCGCTCCCACTCCGGCTGCTGCGGGTTTAGCTGTGCACACTCACACCAACATGCCCACAGACACAGGATCCCCACAGGGACGTACTGCGCTCCCAACACGGCAGCAGAGACACCGACCCACGGAGACGCGTACACCCACGCACAGGATGCTACTCGGTGCCCGCGCGTCACTAGCCACCCACCGCACTCCTCACTCCCACACCTGTGTGAGAAGGCGTGCACGGGTCCCAACACACAGGCACGGGTGCATCTGCAGGCGCTCAGGGGCCAACACGTGGGTACGAAGACACACACACATGCGGAGACCACAGGCTCTGCAGCAGACCGGTGGACTCAAGTGTGCTCACACATGCGGCTGCTCAAGCTTGGGTCAACCCACACACACGCACTCCCCCACAAGCACACACGCACGCACGCACTGACACACAGAGAAACACGTGGTTCCGGGCACGCATGTGTCACACCCACATATTCTCCAGTCTGTCTGTGCTCACTTTGGGGACTGTGCCCGGCACAGAGGCAGGTATTCAGGGAAGGCGTATAGACTGAATGGACACCCAGAATTCCACAGGGAAACCTCGAGGTAGAAAGATGCCCTCTGCCATTCAAATGGCCAGGTGGGGTCCTCGACGAAGGGAGCCCTGTCCTTGCTCTCCATCAGCAGAGGGGCTGAGAACTGGAGCCCTGCTTCTCCACTCCATTCTCACATGGGCCAGACCCCTTGGGCCCCGTGGGTACTCAGGGCCAAGAGATGGAGTCCCCAAGTCCCTCCCAGGGCTCCTTCTCAGTTAGAACCTCACAAGGGACTCTGGCTGAGGGCCCTGCAGGAAGGTAGGGGTGAGGGGCACCCTATGACTTGGGGGTTTGCCCAGGAACATGCCTGTGACTATGCTGGGAGTTTCAGGGGTCCCAGCTCAAGAACTGAGCAAAGATTTCCCAGAAATGTTTTGATCTCCACGCCTTCCTCATACTTGTACCCTAACCACCTAGTACAGTGCCTGGCACATAGGAGGGGTAAAAGAAATACTTGCCCGTGAATGAGTGCGTGGGTAAGTGGGTGGCTGAATGGCCGAGTGATAGAAAGGTGAGTCCTGAGGAAGGCCTGCTGCAGCGTCCCAGGCGGCGGGGGGGGCGGGGGGGGGCTCGGGCGGGGGGGGGGGCGGGAGTGGTAGCCTCACCTCGGAACCAGGGGAGCAGGCTGCAGGAGGGGCAGGAGCAGGGAGGGTGGACACGGGCCCGGACAAGGAGATGGCACTCACCCTCCAGTGCCAAATGCCCCGGAAGGTGGCTGGGGTCAGACTGAAGGTCTTCAGGCTCTTTCTTCTCCTTCTTGGCTTAGGGTCTCCTCGCTGGGTGTCCCAAAAGTCCAAAGAGCCCCCCTCCTGGGGGGCCAGAGTCAGATGCCCCATGCCCTGAGGGCTCAACCTTGATGCCCACCGGTGAGGGTCCACTGCAGGTTTCTTGTGCCGCAGGGCATCGCATGTGTGTGCGTGTGCAGGTGTGCAGGTGTGTGTGTGTCTGTGCGGGGCTGAGGGGTGGTTGGTCCAGTGTCATACCAGGGCAGGGCAGTACCCGAGGGTGGAGAGCCCTGGGCTCTAGGCCTGATGGATGTGGTGTTGGTCCCCCTCCCCCCACCAAGACTGGAGCAACAGAAGGGCAGGAAGAGACAAGAGTAAGCAGGTAATGGTTTCCCCAGGACCGAGCCCACCCCCGAGTAGGTGTTACATCCCCTCAGCCCTCTGGTGAGCACCCTGTAGGATTTCCAGGAGGGCACAGGGAAGAAAAGGATTCGCGTTGCATGGGGAGGGGTCTCAGCAAGCAGTAGGGGGCAGGGGCTTGGGGGGGACTGTAAGCAGAGCAGGATGGCTGGCAGTGCCAAGCAGGGACCAGGGCACAGGGGCAGTGCATGGCATCCAGGTGGGGCAGGCAGGGGTGCAGGGCCACAACATAGGGGGCTCGAGGATGCAGGATCCTGGGCAAAGGAGGGGAGAAGGAAGGCAGCATGGACTAGGCCATGGGCTTCCTGCCTTCCTGCCACCCCATGCCTGGCCCACCAGGCCTGCTGGGGATCAGGATCCCTGGGCCACTCCCCCAGAAAACCAGCCGCTCCAGCCACTCCCTCTGCCTCCCACCACACCCCCCCACTCAATTTCATGGAGTCCCCATCCCACACTATCTATGTCCCAGGTCCAATTGCCTCTGAAAGACCACCAGCCTCACCCCAGGACGAAGGACAGAGGGAGGACTAAAGCAGGGAAAAGGTCTCTGGGACCCCTGGAGGCCTAGCTCAGAGGGGCTGGCTACCTCTCAGGCCACCCAAAGATGAGGCCATCAAAGGGACTTGATCCCAAGCCTTATGTGGGGCAGCTCTCAATAAACGTATGCTGGTTGGATCTGAGTCCCCCACCTGTGGGCTGAGGCTGAGTGGGAAGGCTTTGGTGTTGAAGAAAGGGAGGCTCCTCATCTTTTCTGAAGGCCCCGGCATGAACCCGTTTGGCATGTGTAGGGTCTGATCGGAGATGTGGCCGCTGCCAGATCATCTGCCCCACACAGTGCAAGGCAAACACCCTCCTCTTCTGCATGTACCCCGCATTCTCTGGCCACGATGAACTCCCTGTTCCCAGGGCCTGCCCTCTCTGGGACCTCGGCATAATGGCTCCTGACACCTGGAAAGCCCTCTCCTTTTGATTCTGCATGTCTATGTGCTGCCCATCCTCAGGCTGGCTCCCATATAGCCCAGAGGATTCGGGAGTAATGGGGTTCAGGAATGGAGGGGCTGGCCTGGTGGTGGAGGGCTGGTGGGGGGAGGAGGGGACAGAGCCTGCTGGCCTGGCAACAGGGAGGGCTAGGAAGTGCAGGGGTCCAGTGGCAGGGAGGAGGGGAGGCAGGCTCAGAGCTGGGGAGTCCGGGTTACCTGAGAAGAAGTGGGCCTTGAAGCCCTTCTTGGAGACTGTGTTGTCGGACTTGAACTCCACACGCATGTTGTTGTACTGGGAGGTGATGACCTCGGGCTTCTCGGAGCCACAGAACTTGCCATGTAGCTTGGAGTCGGCTGTGAGCCCACTGCGTACTTCCACGAAGTCATACTTGCACACCTGAAGGGCAGGGCAGCTCCAGGCCTGCCTCCTCCAGGAAGTCTCTCCTGACCACCCCTACCTAGGAAGGCTCCCTGTTGTGTGGGTCCTTTTGTCTTTAGTCACCCACTTTACAGACTCTAATAACTCAAAGAGGTGCCACGTCAACCCCATTAGATCCTCTTGTGCTCTCCACACAAGCCCCAAGTCTTGCCTCGCTCCACATCGCCACGTGCGCGCTGCCTGGCCTTCAAGCCCTCCTCCCCAACCCTCCCCTGCTTCCTGGAATTGGGAGCAGTCTCTCCTCCTCTACATTCTTTGGGTATTTCTTTTATAGGGAAGGAAGCCGGCTCCCACGCCTCAGACCTTCCTGCGTCTCCTCAGCCCAATGAGCACTTACGTCATTGCCCTCGGTCTCGAAGAAGTCGAACTGCAGGGAGATCCGGTACTGGGTGGGGGCCACCAATTGCCAGATGCAGTTTTTGTTCGGGGGGTACTCCTTGGGCCAGCCGGGGCTGGTGATGGAGCCATTGAGCTTGGTGAGGAAGCCACCACAGGCAGCTGGGGGGGACAAGAGAGGTGCCATCACCCACCAGGAGCCCCCACTCTAGGTACGGGCCAGAGACAGGCCCTGAGTGCACTGGGGAGATGGGGATCTCGGATTCCCTTGTGTCTCGTCTCTCAGGAATGGGAGGGAAGCAGGCAGGGTGGGGGGAGGGTATCTTCAGAGTATGAGGAACTGAGGAGTCGTATGTGTGAACACTTCTACTTTCTCTGCAACAGAACCACCAGGACATCTGCTGAGAGGGAGGAAGGGGGTGAGGGGCTCAGGGAAGGCTGGGCCGGTGCGCAGGGAGGACTGGAAGCGGGGCGAGGCAGGGAGAGAAGCGACCAGGCAAGACCAGGCTGAACTGGAGGCTCTGACAGGGAGTGCTTTCACCAGCTTTCACCTTGGGCCGGGTGTCGGGAGAGGCCAAAAAATCAGTGTGTGTCTGAGGACAGTGGTTTCCAAACTGGGGATCATGACCTTCTGGAGGGTGACGAATTCCATCAGTCGGTCAAGATCAGCATTTTAAGCGAATAAAAATGAAAAAAAAAACAAAACAAAAAACCCAACCCAGAGCACGTCACACTTGGTAAGTGTGTTCTGGGGGACTGCAGGATAGAATGTCTTCCTCGTCCCCCCCCGCCCCCCCCCCCCTCGTAAAAAACGTGCTAGGGAGTCCCAGCCACTCCAGGGAGCGGAGTGTCCAAGAGCAGGAGAGATCGTGGCTTAGAGGCCTGGGTCCCGGGGAGGGGGGGCACTCACCCTCACAGCGGCGCTTGTCCGGAGCTAGCTCGTACCCGGGGTCACAGCTACACTTATAGCTGCCCAACGTGTTGAGACACCGCTGCTCACAGCCCCCGCGGTTGGGCCGCGAGCACTCATCCACCTCTGCCAGTTGGAAGGAAAGGGGGTCAATGACTGCCAGGCCAGGGCCTGGGTCTCTCCTCCCGCCCTCTGCTTGCGAGTCAGGTCCAGGGTCCCTCAGGCTTCCTGTGACCACCTCCAGCCCCAATGCAGGGGCCAGCAGTCGGCTGTGGAGCCCTCAGAGCTCTGAGGCTGTGGGCCTCCCTGCCCCACCCAGCCCCCACTCAGTCCCCAGGGGACCCTACTCCTGAGAGCCCCAAAGGGACGGGTTATGACCTGAAAGAGGGGACAGGCAGACCCCCACAGAGCCTTCTTCTGACCACAATGGCTGGGCTGGTGGCCGCCACCATGGACTGGTTCCTCTTGTGTGCCATTCCCTGGCTAAGTACTATTTCCTCCTTTCTCCTTAAATCTGACATGACCTGTGATGGAGGGACTGTTACTATCCCCATTTTACAGATGAGGAAATGAGATTCAGAAGATGACCTGCTCACCGTGACACCAGTTTAAAAAAAAAAAAAAAAAACACCCACTCTGTCTGGCTTCCTCCCCAAGCTTCTACAGCACTTCCTGCCTCTGCGCCTCATTGGCACTTCTTCTACACAAACTTCTGGACTTTAAGGCAACTCTTGAATTATTATTTCAATTCAGAGTTGAGCACCTACCATGTGCAAACTACTTTTATATAAGTTTGTCATTTACTCAATGAGATATGCAGTTTTTCAGTGGAATTGACCTTTTCTCCCCAGTTAGGCCATAAATTCAAGGGAGGGCACCAGGGTCTGTGCATCCCTCCTAGAGCCTCTGTGTCGAATGGCTGGATAAAGAATGTGTGAAGTCACCGCAGCAATGTCAAAATAGCCAAGATGTACAAACAGCCTAAATGTCCACCAACAGATGAGGGTAAAGGAAAGCCAGTGCAGGATGGGAAGAATTAATCCGGTTACAACGTCCATAGCCCCAAAGCAATCTACAGATCTGATGCAATCCTGATCAAAATACCATTTTTCACAGAGCTATAACACGTGATCCTGAAATCTGTTCAGAACCACAAAAGATTCTGAACAGCCAAAGCAATCCTGAGAAAGAACAAAGCTGGAGGTAGCACGCTCCCACATTCCAAACTGCACAACAAAGCTGTAATCAAAAACAAATAAATCAAAACAGTATGGTACTGGCACAAAAATAGAAAAATAGATCAATGGAAGAGAATACAGAGTCCAGGAAAAACCCTGTGATTATATGGTCAATTATCCTATGACAAAGGAGGCAAGAATATACAATGGGGAAAAGACAGTCTCTCTCTCTCTCTCTCTCTCTCTTTTTAAAGATTTTATTTATTCATTTGAGAGTGCGAGCAAGACACAGAGAGAGAGCACAAGCAGGGGGAGCGGCAGGCAGAGGTAGAGGGAGAAGTAGGTTCCCCTCTGAGGAGGGAACCTGATGCAGGGCTCAATCCCAGGACCCTGGGATCATGACTTGAGCCGAAGGCAGATGCCTAACCGACTGAGCCACACAGGGGCCCCCCGACAGTCTCTTTAATAAACAGACTGGACAGCTGCATGTCAAAGAATGCAACTGGACCACTTATCAACACTATACACAGAAAGAAACTAAAAATGGGTTAAAAACTTAAATATAAGACCTGAAACCATAAAACTCCTAGAAGAAAACACAGGCAATAAGCTCTTTGACATTGGTCATAGTGATATTTTTTTTGGATCTGTCTCTTCAGGCAAGGACAACAAAAGCAAAATAAACAGATGGGACAACGTCAAACTAACAAAAGCTTTCACACAGTGAAAGAAACCATCAATAAAATGAAAAGGCAACTTAGTGGGAGAAGATATTTACTAATATTATATGCAATAAGTAGTTAACACCCAAAATATATAAAGAACTCATAAAACTCAATATTTTAAAAGAACAACTATTAATTTAAAAATGGTAGGAAGATCTGAATAGACATTTCTCCAAAGAAGACATCCAGATGGCCAACAGACCAACATCACTCATCGTCAGGAAAAATGCAAATCAAGACCACATTGAGCTATATCACCTCACGCCTGTCAGAATGGATAGTATCAGAAAGGTAAGAATAACAAGTGTTGGCGGAGGAGTGGAGAAATGGGAACCCTTCTGCACTGTGGGTGGGAATGCAAATTGGTGCCGCCACTGTGGAAAACAGTATGGAGATTCCTCAAGGAGTTAAAAATAGAATTACCATATGATCCAGCAATTCCACTTTTGGGTATTTATCCAAAGAAAATGAAATGCCAATTTGAAGAGATATACACACCCCGATGTTCACTGCGTCGTTATTTATAACAGCCAAGATATGGAAGCATCTGAAGTGTCCATCGACAGATAAATGGATAAAGAAGATGTGGGAGAGCCACACAGTGGAATATTACTCAGCCATAGAAAAGAATGAAATCTTGCCATTGGTGACACCATGAACTAAGTGAATTCACACTAAGTGAAATAAGCTAGACAGAGAAAGACAAATGCCATATGCTTTCACTTATATGTGGAATCTAAAAACAAAACAAATGAACAAATGAAACAAAACAGAGACAGACTCAGAGATACAGAGAACAAACTGATGGGGAGGGAAGGGGAGGGGGGGGGAGGGGAGGGGAGGGGAGGGGAGGGGAGGGGCTGGAGAGATGAACAAGAGAGGTGAAGGGGACTAAGACGTACAATTTTCCAGTTATAAAATAAATAAGATGGGGATGCAATGTACAGCGTAGGGAATGCAGTCGAATCACTATGTTGTATTCTTGAAACTAATAGGATACTGTGTGTCAATTACCCTTCAATTTAAAAAATGTGTTCTGTACACACAGTGGAATACTATTCAGCCTTAAAAAAGAAGGAAATTCTGCCATATGCAGTATGGATGAATCTTAAGGGCATTATGTTTTTTTTAAGATTATTTATTTGAGAGAGAGAGAGAGAGAGAGAGAGAAAGAGAGCATGAGTGGGGGGATGGGCAGAAGGAGAGGGAGAGAGAGAATCTCAAGCAGACTCCCTGCTGAGCATGGAGCCCAACACGGGGCTCGATCACAGGACCCTGAAATCATGACCTGAGCCGCTTATCCAACTGAGCCACCTGGGTGCCCCTTAAGGACATTGCGTTAAGTAAAATAAGCCAGTTACAGACAGACGAGTCCTGTGGGATTCCACTTACATGAGCTATCTAAAATAGTCAAATCCAATAAATAAATGAAGTCAAGTTCAAAGAAATAGAGTGGAATGATGTTGCCAGGGGTTAGGGGAGGGGGAAATGGGATCAAATGGGAAATGATCAATAGGCATAAAGTGTTGGTCGAGCAAGATGAGCAAGCCCTAGAGATGTGCTGAGCAAGCACTGTGCTTATGGTCGGCCCTACTGTCCAGTGCGCTTAACATGCTTTCAGAGGACGGATCTCAAGCTAAGTGTTCTGACCACAATACAATGCAATTTTAAAAGCCAGAAAAAGGAATGAAGGGGATGGATTAGCCATGGGGGTGGGCTGGGTGGGGGACGGGAAGGAGCACCTTTGAAGAAGTTGACAGCAAAGCCGGCTTTGTTAATGGATCCGTCAGAGACGAATTTGAGCCAGAGGCGGCTGGATGTGCTCTTGATGTCATCGGGCTTCTCGTAGCCACAGTAGCGTCCGATGAGGGTGCTGCTCTCACTGTGCCCGTCACGCACCTCCAGGTAGTCGTAAGCACAGCTGTCGTGGCGCTCGATCTGAGGGTCGGGGGCTCGGTCAGCTGGAGGAGCGCTGGTTGCCAGGGCCCAACACCAGAAGCCCACGAAGAGGTGGGACCGAAGGGTCTCTGACCTACCTCGAAGGACTGGAAGGTGAGGCCCACGTGGAAGCCTTCGGACACCTGGATCCGCCAGATGCAGACTTTGCTGGGCCGGTAATCGTCAGGGTAATTGGGCGACTGGATGTGGCCATTGTCCTTTTTCACATCTCCCCCACAGATGGCTTTGGGGACACAACGTGAGGTCAGTGAGAGGGCCCCCCTCTCCCCCCCCCCCCGACCTTCCCCCCCCCCCCCCCCCAGCTTCTTAGTGCCCCCGGGCCTGGCCAGTCCCACCGGGATCTCTGCATCCTCCCTCATGGGCCCTCAACCTCGCCCCTGCGGTGCCAGGAGCAGGCAGTTCTGGGATGCTCAGGGACCCCATAGCTGACTCCTCCCTGTCACGCTTCCGCAGTACCTTCATAGACGGCAAAGAAGCCCTTTCCGACCCAGTTGCTGCTGCTGCGGAACTCCACCCAGAGGCGGCTGTCGGTGGAGACAATAGGCTCGGGTATTTTGCCCCCACAGAAGCGGCCTGTGCAGACAGTGTGCACAGAGGGCAGTGAGGCCTGAAGCAGGGCGCTCTCCCCTCCCTGCACCAGGAAGCCCACCCTGCTGCTCCAGGGGGCCCAGGGGCTCTGGCCCTGCTCTGCACTTGGCACAAAATCCCAAGACCCTGCAGGTGGCCTGAGTCTGGTCCAAGATCTAGTGGGGCCCTGAAGAGCCAGACTTCTAGAGGGCTCTGTGCACCTGAGGAATGGAATATGAGTTCGGGGAGGAAAGGGGGCTCCTCACAATAACCAGCTGTATCTATGTTTTATTTACTTTTTCTTAAAGGAGCATATTGCCATCATTACTTTTTTTTTTATCATTATTTTTCTTATTTGATCTCCATGCAAACAAGTAATCACCAAGAATGAACACAGCTTTCTTTGTACATTACAAAATGTTTTCATTTGACCAAATGCAAGAGATGCCAGAGGACCCCAAGTAAATCCTAGAATCTAGGGACTGGGTCAGAAAGTGTCCCCTTTGAAATAAACCATGACAAGAATCCGTGTCAGCAGATGAGGCTGGCCATTTGTGGAATCCTTTGTAGTCAAGAATCAATGAGGGATGACTTGTGTGTTCCAAATAAGATTGGGTATTTCCCAACCTTTGGCAAGGGTCAGAGGGTGCTGACCTAGGAATGTAAGTTATGAAAAAGAAAGTGGAATCTTGGACACGCTACCACGTCTGCAGGAGGAAGTGTTGTAAAGACAGCTGCTTTGGGTGACTAATAAGAAATATTCAAGTATCAGAAAGAGATGGTTAGCAACGATTCGTCAGCCTGCTTCAGGCCCAGCATGTGGAACAAAGGTTCTAATGTTAATGGGCGGTCCTGGGCTTCCTAGGAGTATGTCCTGATTGGAGGAGGAGAATGCACACAGCTCCTCAGGCTTGAAGCAAAAGCCTCTCTTGGCCCTAAATCTATGCCATTGAAGCACCTTCTGTCCCATGCTTCTGACCACTCACCCCCCACTTACTCACCACTCCCCTCACCACCAAGGGACAAAGTCTCCTGTGCAAACAAGTTGGGGCCACTGTGCCAAGAAGGGAGCCCTCCGTGGTGTGCCAGGCTACCCTTAAGCCAGATCTTGCAGAGGGAGAAAATGGAGCCTCTGAAAGTGCCCAGATGAGGAAGAGAGCCTGGAGCTGTGGAGTTGTGCCCTGTCTGTCTCCCTCTGTCACTTGTATGACTCCCACGACCCACACACTGAGCATCACCTCTGTGGGAGGCCCAGAAGCCTGTACCGAGGACCCTGAGGTCCAGATCGGGGAAGGGACTAGAGATGGAGCTAGAAGGCACTAATTCTACCGGGACTCTTGGCTCCCACACCAGGGTGGCCAGATCACCCTTGGCCAGGCTTTGAGTTTCAGGGGAGGAAGAAGAGACTGTGATCTAAGTAGTTCTAAGAAGGAATTAGCCTGTGCAATTCTGTCAGGTGAGGGAAACTGTCAACAAAACAAAAAAGCAATTTACTGAATGGGAGAAGATATTTGTAAATCATATATGAGATAAGGGTTTAATATCCAAAATATATAAAGGATTTACACAAGTTAGTATCAAAAAACCAAACAACCCAATAAAAAAGGGGCAGAGGACCTGAATAGACTTTTCTCCAAAGAAGCCGCAGAGATGGCCAGTTGGCACATGAAAAGAGGCACAACATCACTCATCATCAGGGAAATGCAAATCAAAACTACCATGAGATGTCACCTCACAGCTGTCGGACTGTCTGGTGTCAAGAAGACGAGTGAGAACCGGTTTGAGGACGTGGTGCTAAGGGAGCCCTGTGCACTGCTGGTGGGGACGTCAATCTGGAAAACAGTATGGAGCTTCCCCCAAAATTAAAAAACAGAGCTGCCCTATGATCCAGCAATCCCACTTCCAGGTATTTATCCAAAGAACGTGAAAACATCAATTCGGAGAGCTATGTGCACCCTCCTGCTCATTGCAACATTATTTACAACAGCCAAGAGACGGACGCAGTAGAGGAACAGATAACTAAGGTGTGGGATAGCCATACAGTGGAATATTACTCGGCACAGAAAAGGATGAAATCTTGCCATTTGTGACAACATGGATGGCCCTAGAGGGTATGGTGCTAAATGAGATAAAGACAAATACCGTATGATTTCATTTCTACGTGGAGTCTAAAAACAAAACAAATGAACAAACAAAACAGACTCATGGATACGAACTGATGGGTGTCAGAGGGGAGGGGTGGAGGATAGACAGAACAGGTGTAAAAGGGTTAAGAGATGCAAGGTTCTAGCGACACACTTGATCGTAGCCAGAAGGCCGAGAAGCGATACAAGCTTCCGGTTATAAAATAAATGAGGCATGGGGGATGTCAGATACAGCACAGAGCATACAATCAATAATATTGTAATAACGTCGCCTGGTGACAGATGGTAACTGTCCCTAATCCTGGGGACCATTTAGTGATGCATAAAAATATCCAATCACTATGATGTCCACCTGAAACTAAGAAGATATTGTATGTCAATCAGAGTTCAATTTAAAACCCCGCAGGGCTCAGCCGCAGAGGAGGTGGGGGGTGGGCTAGTGCCGTTACCTCGGAGGGGCGCCTTCCTCCAGAAGCCGTCCCGGACCTCCACGTAGTCGTACCAGCACAGGCGGCTGCGATACAGATCCATGGACGTGAAGTTCAGAATGATCTAGGGGACATGGGAAGAGGAGGAGCGTGACGCAGCCCCCCACGCCTCGCCAGCCCATGGTGGCAGCCTGCCTTCCCCTCCGTGAATAGTGAAGGGGTTCCAAAAGTGAGCTCTGGGCACAGAAACGTCCCTCCTCTCCCCGGCTGCCCGCCAGTGACGGCCAGCATTCTTCTCAGACATCCTGGCTCTCACTTAACATATGTGGCCTGATGGAATCTATACAAAATGTCTCATTTTACTGATACCCTTCGTGAGGAGCCATTGCTTCTGGCTAAACCCAGCTCTCCTCGCAGTGGATTTAAGGAACACGAATCCAGCACCTTTAGAGGGATGAGGTCTCAGTGAGAGGAAGGGCCCGGGCGGCATGTGGGTAGCGAGGGCTCTGAAATGAGAATGAAGGGTCCAGAGAGGAGAGGCAGAGAAGGGCTGAGTCACCCGTGGTGACATATTTATGAACGCCGATTCCAGGCGGGGGTCATGCTAGCGGCTGAGGGGAATACTGGATCCAATTCCTTCCTGTGAATGGGTTTAGGGTCTGTCCCTGTCAAGGGGCTTAGGATTCAGAAGGATATACACACCTGAAAAGCTCACTTAGTGAAAAAACTCAGACTCCACACGCACAGGCCTGAGTTGGAATGTCACCTCTGCATTTCCTGATGTGAGTCCTTGGGTGAATCACCCAAGCTCTCTGACCTCAGTGGCCTCGAGCATAACATGAGGAAAGAGCACCTCAGCCTGACATGGGAGCTCATGGCTACAGGCGCTGCCCTAAGTGCCTCCTGAGCATGAGCTCACAAACTGGTCACGTAATACCGGAGGGATGTTTGATACTTCGGTAAGGTCCAACTCTCCCCAGCAGGTGGGCATATTAACAGGTGGAGAAGCACACTTTCCAGGAGAGAAATTGCTTTAGTTGTTTCCAGAATGCACCCCAAAGCCTCTTGTGTATTTAGAGTCCAACAAGCAAGGACTCCAGGGAACAGTTCATTGTGACCTAAGAGGTGTGTACAGAGGACACACGATGGCCCAGAGGGCCCACCTGTTAGATCTAGCTGGCTTTCCTGCTGGAGGCAAAGAGGATAAGGAGATCTGTGTCCCCCATGGCACCCTGCAGAGTTAGAGGCAGTCAGAGTGGAGGCGAGAATGAAAACGATCCCAAAGCCGGCACCGGCGATTGCGGTCCATAGCCCGTGTCAATGCTGTGATGGTCGAGGTTCAGTGGAGAACTCTGGCTCGCAGTCACTCCTGACACGGACATGGACTGCAGAACGTTCAGTGATTTCCACATCCACCCAGACGACCCTTCCCGTTTCCTGGCCTCTCCGCCATGACCTCCTCTCTCTACCTCTTCTCCACCACACCCAGCACATCGTGCCCTAGACCTTGTTATCACCACTAACTGTGCACCGCCCCCCCCACCCCCACATAATCTCAGGTTCAAGGACCCCACTGTCCAACCACGGGCCCCCATCTCTCCTGGCCCACCGCTCTCGACGGGAGTCCAACAACCTTCCAATTCACCATGACCGTCAACCTGAGCCTACAGGGTTTTCCTGCGTTTTACCTTCATGTACTCACATCTCTCCTTGCCTAGCTTGGAATCCACAGCCCATCCTGCTTCTTTTCTTTTGATTCGTACGTGGGCTGAAAGGTGTTTGCGTTTGGGGAAGTGTTTCTTAATTGTGGTACTCTGAGATGTAATCGAGTAAGACCGTGTTTTGAAAAGTGCACTATGTTACTCTTGATGATTATTATTAGTCATCATTGAGAGCTATTGTTATTATTAAGATAAAAGTCCTCATATTTTGAAAAACTGACATTGGAAATCTGTTCTGGCTCTTGCTCTGGAGACAGACAGTGTGCCCAATATTTCATCTTTCTAGAAAATGCCCAAAGTAGGACACAGAGGAAGTGGCAAAGGCCCGGGGCAGTCATCTCACTCCAAAGCAAATCCATGGTCTAGCTTTATCATCACCTCCTTACATAGGACCTCAACTCTCTTGCTCCTCTTCCTGAAAACTGCATCCCTGGTTAAATCCGACTTTCTACCTACTCGGTGCCTCTTCCTGGATGGTCAAATGTTGTGGCTAGAGAAAATACAGGCCCGTTGACTGTCTCACTTGAAATGTGAGACCGACTGGGCCCTTCGTGCTGCCAGGCACACCTTTTAAATCCTCCCCTTCTCTCCTCAAACCACCTGTTCCTTCTTGACTCTCAGTCCTGGTCCTGCCATCATCTTTTCTCAAGATTAGTTCAATAGTTCCTACTCTTGATCCTACCTCTCACCACAGCAGACCTTTCACAATGTAACCGGATCTTAATTCCCCACTGCTCAAAATCCTTTAATGCTTGTTACTCAGAGTAAAATCCAAAGTCTTCACCATGTCCTCTAAGGTCATTTGTGGTCTAACCCATCTCTTTGACCCCATCTCCTACCGATCTCCTCCTTGCTTATTTGGCTCTGGCCACATTGGCCTTGCTGGTCCTCAAACACACCAAGCCTGCTCCTGCCTCAGGGCCTTTGCACTTGCTGCCTAGAAGCTCTTCCCAGCTATCTGCCCAAAGTGTTCCCTCATTTCCTGTCTATTTCTACTCCAACTCATCTGGTGAGAATGAGGCCTTCCCACATGGAACAGTAACCCCCACTTCACTCCTTTATCTCCTACTGCTGATTTCCTTCGTGACATTTATCACCATCTAACCTACTGCATTTACTTTTTATTTGCTTGTCCGTCCCCCAACCCTGCCAAAATGTAAACCCTATGAGGACAGGAATTTTGTTTAATTCACTACAGAATCTTTGGTGCATGGCATGTAGCAGTTGCTTCATAAATATTTCTTGATTAGAATTTTGCTTTCAGGAATCTATTTTACAGATATACTTGCCCAAGTGTGTAATGATCTAAGTCTTGAGATATTTACTGTAGTGATTTTGGTAATACTAAAAACTTAGGAAAAACTTAAATGAAACATCCATCAGTGGAGACCTGCAGGAGATGGCCAAGCAGTGAAAAGGGGATGACAGCATGCTAAGCAGCCATGAACATGTCTGAGGTAGAACTTGATTTGTGGACATGGAACCCTGACCACAATTAACTGCTGAGTGAAAGGCAAGTAATCTAAGACCACATATCCACACAAATGCACACACACATTCTTGGAAGGGTCTGGAAGGACATAGCAAGTGTTACTCATGCCTAGTCACCTCTGAAGAGTGGGATTTGGAGGAGGATCCAGGGGAAAATATTCATTTTTTACCTTATGAATGCCTCTATTTTTCAAAATTCTTACAACATGGATATGTTATCCTTGTAGCTGACGAACAACAAAACTATCTTTCAAGGAGTTGCTGGACGGAAGAAGGAATGCAGAGGGCCCAGGGAGGACACTCTGGTTCCTCAACTTATGCCCTTCACCACTATTCCATGTGGCCTCCCCGGGGCTGCCCATCAACTTGCTCAGCAGCTGTGCTGAGAACGGCAGCAACTTTCCCTTCATCCTCGGAAACAACTCTGGCTCTGTCCCGGGCGGATGAATTCACACCCTCTGAAGAGACCACACCCAGCCGGCGCAACCCCAAAGGGCCCACCCGAGACCTCCGACGGGGCAGGAGGAACCAGTGGTCACCTCACTCAGGAGGAAAAGACCTGCTCTGGCGGTTAGGGGCATCCTCCAGGGAGGCACAGCCGTGGCTATATTGAGACCAGAGATGTCTAATTAAGCGTTGTAACAACTTCTGTCATGTGGAAACAGCTGTGCTCTGGTGGCAGGGCCACCACCCTTTGCCAAAGAAAACCTGGCCGGCTCTACCACTTCCTGGCTGGTGACTCTGGGCCTGTGGCTTGATTTCTTTGTGCCTCAAACATGGGGGCGATTCTAAGGCGCTGGGGGGTTAAATGGATAGAGAGTGTGGAGTCTCCAAGTGCACCCCGCATATGGGAAGTACCCCTCACATTTGTTGGCTGCCGTCAGGGAGAGATTGGGACAATATGTCGACTCTTGGGGACCCGCAGCCTGGCTTCCGTCTGCCTTTGCTGGACCACCTGAGGCTCATCATTTCACACCTCTGTGCCCCCATTTCCTTACTTGTAAGATGACAATGGTAATAGTACCTACCTCAAAGGACTCAGGGAGTTAATATACGTAAGGTTTATAACACTGGCACACGTGTGAGTCACACGGACAGCAGACATACATGCCACACATATATACCACATACATACACTACAGTGTATGCCACTCCAAAAAAGTTAGTTGCACTACTGGAGCTGAGTTTGCTTAAGATTTTGAAATCTGAAACGGTTTATTCCAGAATCTGGAAGTAGCAGGAGGCAGATGGCGGATGGGGGAACGCAGGGAGGTTGACCAGGGATTGCTCCGTCAATAGATTAAGACTACAGAATGATAATAACAGCTAGCCTTGATGGAGCTCCCACCACGTGCTAGCGCTGCTCTAACCACTTCACGTACATTAACTTGTCTAATCCTCGTATCATCAGCCCCATGAGGGAGGCATTACCACCAGGCCCACGTTACAAATGGGGAGACGGAGGCACAGAGCGGTTAAGCAACTTCCCCGAGATCATACATCCAGTAAACAGCACGGCAGACCTGAGTCAGACCCAGGCACTCTGGCTGTTAAACTCACACCCTGAGCCACCACTCCATGTGGCCTCCCCAGGCCTGCCGCTCAATTTGGCCTCACAGCTGCTCAAAGAATGAGGGTCAGCTTTCCCTTCACCCTCCCACCACCCACACCCTTCAGCACGGGGAAGCAGGCACTCAGGGGAGGGTCCAGCACAGGCCTTGCGGAGGAGGGAGGGCTCATCTCTGCCCAGCTGGGGGACGGGGGTGGGGGTCAGGGAAGGCATTACAGGGGAGGCGGGATTTGGGTTGGAACTTGAAGAATAGGCAGGCTATCACAGGCAGGGATGGGAATGAGGGTGGACACTGCCAAATCCAAAAGACATCTTCAGTTCTTATCTTCTTGGCTCCCCTGCAACAATAGGCCATGATCTCCTGAAACCACTTTCCTGCTCATCAGGGGCTGGTTCGTGGCTTGGGAAACACTGTAAGTCCTCTTTGGGGCAGCTGCTAATGACGTGCAGTGCAGAGACTTGGGGGTCCTAAAAGAAACCTTCCCAAGTGACTCTTCCTTGTCTGACATCTCCCTGACTTGCATAACCGTGTAAGATAAAATTTACACATCACTTGCACTTCTGGCAATAATCAGAGAAGTGGAGAGCGAGGCAAAACAACCTCTCAGCACAGAAGAGACATCAAAGTCCACGCCCGAATGCAGGCGGGTTTACTCCAGGATGACTGTTGAAAGAGCGTAGACTTTGGAGTCGGGCAGTCCTGGAACCCCAATGCTGGTTCCACCACGATTGGCTGTGTAAACTTGGGCAGAGTTACGCTCGCCTGCTGAGCCCCGACTCCTTCGTCTATACAGAAGGGACGACTGCCCCTGCGCCACAAAACTGATGGGAGGAATAACGAGGTCGTGCGCACGAGATGTCTACTACTCTGCCTGGCACCTAATGGGTGCACAGCGAAGAATGGCGGCTGTGATGTCCCAACGCCATCCTCCCCGGCTCCCCAGCCTCCATGAGCCCTTAAAGGGCTCCTGTCCCCCGGGGGGGGCCCATCTCTGGCTCACTTACAACTCTACAATTGCATCCAGGACCGTGAGTGAGTCTAACTTTTTCTCTCTCTGCAACCACGCACTGATGAATCTGGAATTTTTCTCTGTAGCCTTCTTCTCTCCCCGGTGGGGAGCCTCCTGGGAGTTGTGGAGGGAACAGGCCCAAGGCACAGGGAGGCGCCTGGGGCCCGGCCATGTGTCTACTAGAGACCAGGGCCAGCCCGTTCCAGGTCAGAACAACAGAGAAGGAGACCGATCCCTGCTGACTGAGCAAATCTTCTGAAGAGGAAAGACGGCAACGCTCTACCCTACTCTATGCTCCTTGGGGCCAGGACTATCTCGTGCCTCTTTCTGGCCGCCTGTGCTGGGCGAGTAGTGGGCACAGCGGTCTGTGGAAGGGTGCTTTAGCAACTGTTGATATGGGACAGGGCTTTAGAATACACAGTATTGCAATCATGGATTTTTGTGTCATAATCCAGTTTCTTGGGCAAGTTACTTAATTTTTCCAAGTTTGCTCTCTCGTATGCAAAATGGGGATAACATTAGCACCAGCCCAGAATGTCATTGTATTAATTACAAGACATAACACATAAAGAATTTAACACATGCCTGGCTGATAATGCGCTCAATAATCGTTAGTCGTTTTTATTGTTATCTGCTGTGAGATCTCCAAAGGCTGCAGCAGCAGAGACCTTTGGCAGAAGGATAAAGGAAGCCAGGGCATGGTCAGAACAAGGCAGCAAAAGGACAGCAATTGTTAAGTTCAATTCAGAATAATAATAAAAAAAAAAAGAACAAAGAGGGGATGGGTTCACTTTTGAGGGAAGACGACAGAATGTTAACTGAGAGAGGTGATGGAATTACTCAACCCTCAATAGAAGTCTAGCACAAATAAGAATGATCTTTAAATTGCAAAAAATAAAATAAGCACAGTTTGGAAAGGAAATGGAAACCGAATCACAATGGAGGAGAGTCAGTGAACACCTCTTTAAACTGGCTTTTGCCTCTAGGCTCAAAAATGACATCAGAGGACACTCAAATAACTTACAGATGTGATCAGTGTCTATAATCTTGAGAACTCGGAACAAAAGCTTTGCCAATTTTCAAAAGGGGTGTGTGTGCGCGCACGCATGCGTGTGTTGGAAGGAGGGTTTGGAGTGAATTCTGGGAATCGCAAACCACTGAGTTGAATGTCAATGCCCAATTAAACAGTCTGCCGCCATTTAGAAGGGAGACACTTGATTACGAGGAACCAGTTCAGGTTCACTTGAAACAAAGCATATCAGACAAATGTCATTTCCTTTTTTAAAAAGGCACTTTCCCAACTGGTGGAACAGTAGATTTGATTTGGTAAGGCAGTCCGTCTACATATTCAGCATTTATCAAGATGACAAAGGCATGGTCTGAGAAGCTCACTTCCCAGTCAACAAGGTCGTGGTAGTGACATTAAGTGGTGTCTCAGCCAGTGGAATAACTCTGCCCAAAGTCTGCAGATGAACCATGTCAGCTCAGAAAGGGATCTTGGATCTGCTTTGATTCATGTCCTGTTCAATGTTTCTATCAAAGACCAGGTTCCAAAGACCCAGAAGATATGCTTATCAAGAGCTCGGGACATAGTAAAAGGGACGGCCACCTGCAAAATGGTGGACTCAGATTCCAAATGGTCTTGAGAGCTGTTGGACTGAACGACATGACCAGGAATAAAACCTAGTTGGGCTCGAGACTGCACTAGTGCATTAAGTGCCATGTTCCAATCAAGGGAAATAAAGTCTTAAAGCTGACTCCTGGAAACAATCAAAATGCATGGAAGGACATGGAAAGTACAGGGGTGGGTGAGAGGTCCAGATTCCACATGAAAACCCTGTGGGTGAACCTGACAAGCGCGTGGAAAAGTGCCTCTCGTGTAGCAAGTGCTCTCTGCGAGTCAACCTTTATTTACAACGATTGCTAGAAGCCCCTCCTTGAGGCAGTGCTCCATTTCTTATGGGGTGAATGGGTCTACGTTTCCCAGGTGGGTCATTCACAGCCACAACCGACTATGCTCTCCTACTCTGGGATCCTGGCAGAGGAGGGGACGCTCAGTTACCTTCTCCCCAGGTGTGACTGAGATGCGCCATACGCAGTGCATGTGGGCGGAGTAGCCATTGGGGTACTCAGGGGAGGAGAAGTTGCCTGTGCTGTCTTGTAGGGTCTCTCCGCAGGCTGTCAAGGAAAGGAAATGACTGAACTGCTGGCTGCAGATGCCCAATCCCCCCAGCCTTCTGGCTCCCCGCCCAGAACTCTTGCATCCTTTGGGGGCGAGAAGAACGGCTGAGGAGGGGAGGGAGTCCAGGATGGTCCTGTCCCTTTAAGATGCCCTCCCTGCTCCTCACATATAAGCTCACACCTCTGACCTCTTCAGCCTAGTGCTACAGGATGCGCTGTTGTCAAGGCAACATGGTTTCCAGAGTTAAGGTCAAGCTCCTTCTGCAGGCCTCACTCTACCTCACTCCCTGAGAACTGCTCTGCCAGCCCTCTTTCCAGCTCCTCCTGCCCTCTTCTCCCAGACGCCTGGAAGGTGTGGGGCTCAACATCTCACCACCACCCAATCCCAGCCCCAGTCTGGTTCCTTAACTTGAACAGTGCCCCTGCCTGGGTGCCCCCACCCCCAACACCAGGCAGCCTCTGGCCTTCTCTAAGACTCACAGCTTTAACCTCCTCAGCCCCAGGCCCTGGCCCACTGGCTGCTTCAGGCTCTGTCCTCCACCCCTCCCTGGCCCGTCCCTCCCTGCCCCGACCTGGGCATTTGTAGAGCTTGCGGGCCTGGGCGATGTCCCCCTTGCTGAGCCGGGTCCTTTGACCGATGGGAGGTTTCACCCCATTGACCTCGTACTTGGGAACAATGGTGTCCAGGAAGATGCCCCTGAGGAGGAAAAGCCCGACCTGGGTGAGAGTCTGATGGAAGGAGGGGTGGCGTGCCTGTGTGCACCCAAGGTCACGACCCTGCCAGAGCCCAGACATTCCTCCGTAGGGTCAGGGACGGGTGGAGAGATCTCACCCTGTCATTATGCTGCCCACTGACCAGCAGCCACCCTGCTCCGTGGCAGCCACACGACTGGAGCCTGGGGGAACCCCAGGAATACTCTGGGAAGTCAGGGATGCAGGGTCCGCATGCCCCGGGGACCTCCCGGTGCCCCGGCTCAGTCTGGGTCCAGTCCCCAGCCTCAGAAGAGCTTCGGGCCCCTAGTGATCATGGGTCCAGCCTCTCCCAGCCCCTGCTTCCGCGGCCCCTCATGCTGAACCTCTCCTAGGACTGCCAGGGCCAATGCGTATCCTACCACAGGCTGCTCTCAACAAGTTCCAGCGTGGCCGGACCAGACCCTGGGGACAGCCCCGCAACTCCCGATCCATCAGTGCCTCCTGTCCCCCCGAGTTCCTGCCTGCTAAGTCCTGGGTGTTGCCATCTGGGAGGAGCAGGGCGAAGGGAAGCAGGCGGCCCTCCACCTCCCCAGGGCCCCTGACTCACACCCAGCTGGGTGGAACTCGGCAGGGGGCAGAGTAGGATGTGGTGGGAAATGTCCAGGGGAGGTCTGTGGCCGTGGGGGGCGGGATGACCTCACCACCCTTCCTCGGTCTCTGTTCCCTCAGGTCTGGACGCGGGCGAGACTGAGGAGGGGCACTGTGTGCGGGACAGAGCAGGAGAGCAGACAGAGGATGAGGAAAGAGCCAGGCATGGGAAAGGCCAGGCCGGGAAGGGGAGCCTGAGGAAGAGGGGGGAGGGGCCGTTTCCCACACTCTAAGGAGAAGCTGGGGGTGCGGAGGCTGGGCCACTACCTCTGGGAGTTCTGACTGTGATTTCTGGGAACGTGGGCCCAGGAAAGGGAGTAGGTGTGTGTGCGCTTGTGAGCAGGGGAGAGAGGCTAGTTCAGGGCAAGAGGGAGCCTTTGTACAAATTAGCCAGTTACAAAAAGCCAGACTGATTAGAAAGGATGCCCCCAATTAGAAAAACATGCCTCTTTTGGCTGACAGATGAGAGAAAAGCTCAGCTCCACTGGGCTGATACAGTTCTGGAACCACAGCATATATCTGTGTGGCAGGCAGAGCGGCTGGATTTTCAGCCTCTTGGGCCAGGTGCCCTCGGGGTACACGGTACTAGGCTTTGTGAGCCCCGGCCGGGCCATGGACCCGTCATGGAAGAGGACAGCAAGGCAGGTGGTTCCCATGGGTCCTCTGCTTGGAGGCTGCGGCCACCCAGAAGTCCACTCTTGTCCTTGGTGACTGCCCCAGCAGGACAGCCCAGTGCAAAACGAGAGGCCCAAAGAGAATGGCCTACAGAGGGCGGGATCGGGCTGCCCCAGAGGAGGCCAGGCCCCATCTCTCACCTGGAGAACGTGTTCCGGGCATAGTGCATGATACTGTCAAAATCATAGGTCTCCCCCAGGGACTCCACCTCCTGGAGCTCCATCTTCAAGAAGTTATACTCCTGCCCTGCGAAGACCAGGAAAAAGGTGTGGGGGGTGGGAGGGGTGGGTCTGTGTGGGGTGCAATGCCACCTTTTCACGGTGGGGAGTGGGGTCCTCCCTGCACTTGAGAGGTGCCCCCCTACCTGAGGGTCCGGGGAGCAGCCAAGGGAAGCCTGGGGGTAGGGGTGGGTCTCTAGAGAGTCTGTCCAGCAGAGGGGCAGGGTCAACGAGGACTGGCTGGAGGGAAGGCTCAGGGAGTATGGAAAGGAAGCACCCATTTCTAGAACCACAGGGAGATGAAAGCAGGGAAGTGTGGAGGAGGCCTGGGAGGGAGGAAGGAAGCAGGAAGGGAGGGGAGGGAGGTAGCCAGGAGAAACAAGAAAGAAAAAACCCTTAGAAGAGAGACCAGGCAGAGGGCAGAAGACTGGGGAAAAGTGAAGAGAAATGCTGAAATGACTTGGGGGATTGTGCCAATTCCCCCCACAAACTCTCCCCCACCCCAGGGCAGCTGGGCTCTGGCTGCTCCCGATGGCCTCTGTGTCCAGGACCAGGATCTCTCCCAGCCCCGCCAAGCAGCTCTACAACTGATCAAGGGTCTCAGAGATGCTGCCGGCAGGGAGCCGATGTCTCAGGGCTGCGGTCTGGACCAACCTGGGCCCTGGACAAGGGCTGCCCACTAAGCTGACCAAAAGCGATGGCTCCAGGCAGCAGCTCCCACCCCCATCAGAGGTCCTGGAGCGGGTGCTGGGGCAGGTGCCGCACACAGCTAGGCGCCAAGGTCAAGGTGCTACCTGGCTGGATGTTTTCCCGAACGATGGAGACGTGGCGGTCCCGGTCTGGCCGCGTGTGCTCGTGCCAGAAGCCGATGACATGGCCCAGTTCGTGGACAACGATGCCGAACTTGTCACAGTTCTTGCCAATTGAGATGGCCTGTGGGCCCCCGCCACGGCGACCCACGTAGGAGCAGCACCTGGAGGGCGGGGCCAGCTCAGGGGGGCGGTCCCGAGCTGGGGGAGTGCATCCACTCAGGGGCCGGGCGAGGCTGCCAGGGGGGCAGGGGAGTGAGGCGCAGGGGAGGGGCCTGAGCATGGGATGCCCAGGCTGTGTGCAGGGGTCATAGCCACATCAGGGCGGCTCCTGGGGAGATGTCCCAGGGTAAGGGGGTGGGAGGGAGACAGATGACGCAGTGTCAGGCCCCGCTGGGGCAGCAGCGGTGCCCAGGGCAGAATATGGGTTGGGGTGGTGGCCGAGGGTACAGTGCCCAGGGGCCCCTGCTCACCCGCAGGGTCTATAGGTGAATACAATATAGCTGTCCTCGTCAGTGCGCTCCAGGAAGGTGACACAGGTGTGCTTCTCCCAGTGCCTCATGGCTTGCCGGAAGACTGCCCTCTGGCTGCCTGCCAGGATGAAGGGGGCCAGGTTGTCACAGTGTCCAGCTGGGCCCATCTCCACCCATTGCTAGATGTCAGCCTCTCGTTGGACAGGTACACAGAAGGTACCACTCCTACCACAACACATGACCCAGCTGCCCCATGGCCAGGCCCAGATGCAGGCTGCTCCCCTGGCCCCCCAACATCACACGCACCAGTGAAGTTTCCCCCAATGACAAAGGGGATGACCCCATCGGGCCACACACGCTCTGGTCTGGATGTTGCTGCCCGCCGGCTCCGGGACCTGCCTCTCCATCTCCCACGGCTTTTCCTCTGCAGCTGCCCACTAGTGCTCTGGCAGTTGAAGGTAGAAGAATTTCCTTGGGTTGGAAGAGGAAGACATTGGTAGCAAGTGAATGAAGGGGTGGCACAGGAAACAAATTGTATAATCTATCCTCATTTGGGGGGAGTCCATATTTCCCCACTCACTAAAAGTTATTTGTAATCCCAAAATCAATACCCTCAGCTCTCTCATGGTTATTTGCTGACATGCACAGAGCAGGGAAAAGTGAGTCACCCACATGCCCAACTGAGGGGGAACAAGGTGACACTCTGCCTTCTTGTTTCAGCTCTCGTACTGTCAATAAGTATCTTTTTCATAGTCTATTTAGTGCCAATTTTTTTTTTGCATTTGGGGCTTTTTGCTGGTGACTTTGCTGTTTAAAATGACTCCCTTCCACCCTGATGTGTTGAAGCATTGCCGTGCTGTCTGGTGTCCCAAGTGCTAGAAGGATTTGATGTTCCTTATGAAGAACATACATGTCTGTTACATAAGCTTCGTTCGGTCATGAGTCATAGTGCTGTTGGCCATGGCTCAATGTTAATGAATCAACTATGTATTAAATCAGGGGTCTTTAAACAGAAACACACGTAAGACAGGGTCACACATTGATCAGTTGATGAAAATGATATGATGAGAAGCTAGCAGGAAGTGAACATTGTGTTTCTCCTAGGAGTGATGGATGGCTTAGGATTTGTGAATTCAGTGTTTGCAGTGACTTTATGGAACAAGGTTATCCTATAGCTCTATTCATAACTACCATGGATTGGGGCGCCTGAGTGGCTCAGTTGGTTAGGCGTCTGCCTTCAGCTTGGGTCATGATCCCAGGGTCCTGGGATCCAGCCCTGCGTCGGGCTCCCCACTCAGCGGGGAGTCTGCTTCTCCCTCTCCCTCCGCTCCCCCCTCCCACTTGTGCTCTCTCTCTCTCTCTCTCTCTCAAATAAATAAAATCTTTAAAAAAAAATTAAAAAAAAGAATAACTACCACGGATAGTGAGAATTGACCATAACTGAAAAAGAAAACCATGGTGTCCTAATTTCCTAGGGACTGCAGGGGGCTTGAGACGAGGATATGGTCCCGTCTCACTTAATAAAACTTCTTCCTTGTGGAGCATATGGAACTTGATGTCTTTCAGTGTTCCCAAATACACATTCTCCAGTGACGTAGCAGCTCTCTCGGATGCACTAGGCAAGCGTCACTATGTATATTTGACGGATGAGGAAACTGAGACCGAAGATTTGCCCAAAGTCACCTGGTGGGTTTGTGGCGGGCCCAGGCGCTCCAACCCCTCCATTTCGCTGGTCCCCTCTGAGGCCCAGGAAGCCTTGCTAGTTATCAGGCCACCACGTCCCCCTCCAGTGCCAGCTGCTCTCTGGGGTTAGTGTGACCTTTACTCCACGGCTGCCCGAGCCACGAGCCTCCCTCATGCAAGACAGGGCAAGGGCTTGGCACAGAGTGTGTGCAGAATGGGCTCCGGGTGAGAATCCCTGTCCCTGGCAATGGGAGAGCTCCCTGGAGGCAGCACCACGTTCCAGAGCAGTGACAAGGCTGGACAGAAACGAGGCAGCCCGTGCCCTGACTCTTCCTCTTCTCTTACCCATTCACAAGGTCCAGGTGGGTTGCTAGCTGCTTGGGCCACACTCGGAGATGAGAAGGACCCATCTCTGACCTTGAAAAGCTTTGAGTCCAGCAGGGAAGATAGACGTATTAAAAAAGAAAACCATTGAAATATGGTTCACTGAGTGAGATACTAACATGGTCAACAGAGAGCAGAGAGAGAGCAAATGGAGGTAGAGGCATGCTGGGGGGACGATCAGGGAAGGTTTCACCAGAGAGGCGCCGGAGATGGGCTTGGAAAGATGCGTAAAAGCTTGCAAAGTGGGAGCACGAGGAGAAGCCAGGAGGGACTGGGATGTTGAGCCAAGAGCCTCAGATTTAAAGTGAGAAGGCTTGGGTTCCTGCCCGAGCTCTGCCACTGACGAGCTATGTGACCGTGAACAAGTCACGTTACCCCCATGGGTCTTAGTTTCTGTATCTGCAAGGCAGAGGTTGTCCTGACACCTGCCTTTGCAGGTGGTTGGGGACAGTTAAGTTAGAGAATGCTTTTGAAAGTCCTTTGTAAACTGTAAGCAAAAAGAATGTCCATTCTGGCTCCTGGGTTTGTCTATACTTGCTGTTCCTCTGGGGGAAGGAATAAAGGTATCCCAAGGGAAGACAAGCCATTATGCTGGGTTCAAGCTCATAGCCTCTGTACTGAGAGGGCCTGGCTGGGAAAGAGGGAGGTTCCTTGTTTCTCCAATTCTGGAACCCATTTCTGGGACATAGGAGACCCAGCCTGTGCCCGGTGTACCTGCAGTTTTGATGGAAGACCTGTGCGTTGCCCGCTGCCTGAGATCTGCAGCCTGCTGCGCCTGGAAGGCCCTCAGGTCCTCCTCATCCAGGGCGATGTCCCCAAGGAAGGCAGCTAGAGAGAAAAGAAGAGGCCGGGGGAGTTAATCCTTCTACCCAGCACAGGCAGCCCCAACGCCAGGGGCTCCCCTATAGCAACTTTAGTCGGCAAATGCCTTCTGAGGAAGAAGGCAGTGGGGCACTGGCTTTGAGAATCCCTCGGGAGACTCGTGCTCACTTTGGAGTTGGGAATCCAGCAAAGCTGATACCCACCCCCTACCAGAGGAAGACACGGCCATGTCACTCTTCTCATCACTCTGAACACTTAGTAAGCACCTTCTGTGGGCCAGGCACTAGCCGAGTGATGAGCAAGATAGAAGAGGTCCCTGCTTGTGTAGAGCTAACCTTTGACAATACACAAATAAACAAACACTGAACACAAGAATGGTGATGCGTGCTATGAAGAAAGCAGAAGGGGGTCAGTGTCTACTCTGTGGGCCCATAACCTTGGTGCTGCACTGAGCATGTGGTATTCACTCAACAAATGCTGTTTCAAAGATGGAGGGGAGCATGTGAATATGAACAGAGCCGAGAGGCATAGGAGGGAAACCAGGACACATAATGGAGCTGCCCTGCTAGGAGGAAGAAGTTTAACTGTTCTCAGGGGACTCCTATTCTGAGTCTCAGGGTCCCTTCTCTGGAGGAAGAAAGGCCGGGGGGTCATAGAGCCCCCTGAATAGGCCATGTGGACTTCTGGATCTGGGGAGAGATGTTTTTGGAGAGATGGGCTCAACAATCCGCCTGCCTTTTGAGAAGTCAGGAGCAGGAGGAAGCTGGGGAGCTGAGTGCTCTGGAAGGAGCTCAGAAGCGAGCTTCACACTGGGCTGGGCTGGGGGAGGCGGGAGGCTGAGCTGGATGGAGGTGGAGCTCCACCCATGGCAACATCTGCTTCTCATCCTGAGTGCTACACAGGCCTGGCGGCAGCATTACACAAATTGTTTTAACCTTGAGGCCTTGCACACAGGTTTCTCTGCCCCAGATGGCCCACTGGGTGAACACACACACACACACACACACACACACACACACACACACACTTCATCATACACAGAATCAGGCACATGGTGACATCCACAGCCGTGCCCTCAAACACAGAGCTATGTAAGTCACAGAGATATACTCCCCACTCCCATTCCCCCCAGGCAGCGCCCGCACCACCCTTGCAGGTGGAAGGCACTCCAGAATGTTTGTTCAAGTCAAATATCACATTGATATTCTTTGGGCCTACAAAGACACATGCCCATAGACACATACTCTGATGCAACCTAGACCTGGATTGACAGAACGTGGGAGTCCCTCTAGCAGTTATCCAGGCCAACATTCCATTTTAGATATGGAAACTGAGGCCTGGAAGGGAAATGGTCTCCCACACTGCTAGTCGTTGGAGAGGCTGGATTTGTAACATGGGCCTCCTGATTCCCAGTCTAGCACTTGTTGTATTCAAGTGCATTACTGCTGTAGAACCCATATCGTAAATACCCGTACACAAAAATAGACACTCATGCAGACACACATTCACACACACACAAAATGCACCGTCACAGACAATTCTAAAAAACACACATGCACAGGCTCCAACGCACACAGACTAACTGCAAGCTCTGAACCCATTAAGCCAGTAATGGCTACCATTACTGGCTACTACACCTTCCCAGGCAACAAAGTGCTTTCACATTAATGAATTCATTTAATCCTGGCCCACTCAGGGCCCATTAAATCATGCTCCCCCTGTGCATTTGCCTACGAGTGTGCAATTACAAACTCTTCGAGAGATAACCTCGTGGCTGGATTCCAGCCCACCTCCCTGACTTCAGAGATCAGAACACTTGGGCCTAAGAAGGAAATGACTTGCCCAAGGTCATCAGCTGGTAAGTGGCCCAGAATCTCTTCCACCACATGAGAAAGTTTTTTTTCCAAAAAAGGTCACCATTGGGGGACTTGGCTCAGCAATTGATTGGATGGCAGCGGGAGACATTTCTTAGCTGACACGCAAAGGTCGTGGGATGAGAGGTACACTCCGAGAAGATAATGCCAACATTCACACAGGCACACACATGCCACACGAATACCCTCATACCTTGACACACTTTGCACCTCTGCACAGACACTGGCACCTCTGGGCTCATGTGTCCACACCCACAGGCACCATCATCCACACACGTGGCTGGACATTTAGACTCGTCTTTGGACATGGCAGCAAAAAGCAAAGTCTTTGTAGGCAGACAGACCTGTCTTTGAATCCCAGCTTGGCTCCTATTAGCTGACAAGTCACATAAACTCTTCTAAACCTCAATTTTCTCCTACATAAAAAGGAGCTAACGATAGAATCTGTCTCCCAGGATGACTGCATGAAATAAGGCATGTAAACAAAGCACCTAGCACAGAGCCTGGAACACGGTAAGCACCCACTAAATGGTCACTGTTAATCTTACCCCCAAAACAGCCCCATAAGCTCAAGATCAGCTCTCCACTTTCCAAGGGCATATCGGTTCACCCCCATTGGCCTCTTGACTGAGTGAAGCCCCAGAATGCTCAGAAGCAGAACCTCGAATTCCAAGTACAGAGGCCCCGGAACCGTGCTGGCCTGTGAGACCAGGACAGTGTGGGGGGCAGGGCAAGTGGAAGGCGGGATAGGCCCTAGGATGGCCACAGAGCTCTTCTGCCGAGCGGGCGTCCTGTGGTGGGGATGTCATGGCTGAAGAATGTGTGGGAACAGAGTGGGGGTGGGGAGACGTGGGGTGGGCAGGGGAGCCTTCTGGCCAGGAGTTGAGCCTGAAGGCCCTGCCCATTTAGGATTCCCCCATGGGGAAGCTAGGGAATCTGGATGCTGGAGAGTCCAGGACAACCCCCCTTAGCCGGAAGGAAGTCCTGGGGTCAGGGTCAGGGTAGTAGTTGTTTTCAACACAGGATCAAAAGTTTGTTTTGTTTTCTGGCTGTAAACCAGCCGGGAGCACTCGTGGCCACTCCATAGTCAGGCTGGGGGCAGGAGAGGAAAGAAAGAGTAAGGTGGACTTTGTGTGCCCATCCTCTAGGTAGGCCTCTTGGCTCGAGTCTCGTCCCCTGGGGCATGGCAAGGCATCCCTGTCTGGGGAGAGGGTGAGGAGCTCGCTGGTGTGGTGGTGCCCCAGTGCCATGTGTACAGGGCGTACGCATGTCCCATCACACAAATGCAAGCTTCTAGCTGGGGGAGAACATACTCAAGCTCCCACGGACATGGGCATGTACTTAATCACAGCTGTACGCTGCTACACAGGTGCATATTTGCGCACACCCTGACATGCACTCAGGAGTACCCACATGCACAGTTTGCTGGACTTGCCCTTAGAGCAGGGGTATACCCACAAATGTGCCCAAGCACTCCCTTGACTACTTCCCTGTGCAAGCCCTAGTGTATTCAAACACAAATTATTGCATATACACATTTCACAGGCTATACCCCCCAAAGGTGAAGGGCACCCTTAGAAATGAATGGGGGGCGTGGAGAGAGCGACAGAGAGACAGAGAGATCAGCTGACTCCCCTGGATATCCTCAGGAGGCCCTTAGTGGGCTGAGCGACACATTCTCCCTCCCAATCCTCCCCCAACATCTTCTGGAGAAACTAGAATTCTTGAGAGTTCCTTCTTCCTGGGGAGTCCCATTGGTCCCCCTCCATCTGGAGCCCAGGGAGATTCTAAGTCTTTTCCTCCTCCCTTGGGGCACCTAAAAGAGAAGGTGACTCAGGGAGCAGGGGCATAGGTGGGTGGATGACTCATTCAGAGTGTCTGGAGGGGGAATGTGGTCTGGCAAGAGAATGGATCACTTCTCAACCTCCAGAACTTGTGGCTGAGGCCCCTTGAAGTCCAAACCTGGGCCACGATGCCTCTGGGGTGGGGACAGTGATGAGGGTGGGTGAGCTACTAGCCCAACTCATCTTCTCAGACAGAGCAAGCAAACCTCTGAGCTGCCAGCTAGGGCCGAAGTAAGGTCCTCACTGGCTCAAGGGCACTCCCCAGGTGCTTCTCTGCCTCTGGGAGCAGCTTTGTCCCCATTCCTGCCTCCCACATCTCTCCCAGAGCCCCGAGGCTCACTGCCAAGAGCTGGGAATCTCAGGGAAGATCCCCCTTGATGGTTTGGCATCCTAACATATAAGAAATCAGGGCTGATTCGCAATCTCCCTGGGCAAGGGGGAGAGAAGGAGAGAGAGAGAGACAGAGAGCTCATATGTGAACGTGAGAGCCTGCACACCAGAGCATGAGCTTGGTGGAACCAGCTCTCGGCACACACATAGAACAACTCTGCTTCCCGCCTATTGTTCTAGTGTTGCCTAGAAGATCCAGGAAACTCTCCAGGGTATCAGGGGTCTCAGTTTTGCCTTACTGCCCTCAATTTTGCCCTACCTCTGACAGTAAGTGCCGGAGATAAACTCAAATGAAGGGGCCTGGTAATCCTGAAAGGTGAGCCAGGGGATTCAACAGGACTTTCATTCTTGGTCCTCCGTGTGCAAGGAGGAGAGGAGGAGAGAGCTGGAAAGGGTGAGAGGAGCAGAGGTAAGCAGGCAGATCAGGGGCATCCAAAGGAGGCACAGCCAGGTGTTCCTGCCGCCATCACGTCTAGCACCCGGATGGCAGGGCTCAGAGGAGGCAAAGAGGGCACAGCAACACAAACAGAGAGAAGAGCCTAGGGACGCAAGGCATGAGGCTGTTGGCGTGGGGTCTTAGGGAGTCAGGGTGGAGGTAGGCAAGGCTGCAGCAGCCACTCCCAGGAGGGAGGCCTGATCTGACCCCGACTCTTGGCCTCGTCAGGCTCTCGGGTCCTATCGGCCACCCCCAGGCCTGGCCCAGCTCCCCACCAGCCTCACTTCACCCTGGGGCAGAGGCTTCCCCAGAGCCCTTGTTTGAAGTTCCAACTCAGCCAGCCCCACCCTAGCATGAAATCTGAGACTGGGGATAGAGCCTCAGCCTCCTGCCGCCTCCTCCGAAAATCACTCCAAATCCCTCCAGGAGTGAAATACATCAGACTGACTTCCTACCCATTCTTCAAGGCCTTCCCTCCTCCATGACGAACCCCAAAACCTTCCCAGCCTGCCGTGAGCCCTGGTTCTCTGCCACCGCCACTGCCAGGCTGCAGAGGGGTAAGGGGCTCCTTGAGCCTTTAAGCCCTTTCCTCCCAAGGTGGCACAGAACGCATCTTGGTTGGTGCAGTTGGTTACATCCCCACGTGTCTTATGTCCCTCCCAGACTGGAAGCCCTTTGAGGGCAGGGGCCATGTCTTACACTTTTCTGTATCTCCCCCAACATCAAGCCCAGGGCCTGGCACATATTATTAGCATTCAGTCCATGTAGATCAGCTGAATGAATAAGTGACACAAGGACAGGGACAGGGAGACACTCCCTTTTCCAGCAAACCCAGCCCATTCCCTCAGAAAAAAATGAAGTGAGAGTGTGAGGCACAGGAAACAGGGGAGTAGGCAGCAAACATTTATTAAGTGCTTACTGTGTGTTAATCTCTAATAAGTGTTTTATATACGTTCTCATATTTAATCCTTGCCATCAACTCTACAGAGAGACATATTATCAGTTCCATTTTACAGGTGAGAAAAGCAAAGTTCAGAGATGATAATTAACATTCCCCAGGCAGTAGAGCTAATGAGTTGTGGGTCCAGGATTGACAGCTTAGGTCGGCCTGCCTCCAAAGCCCAAGCTCCATCTGCTTAGCCTCATGCCCACTCCAAGCCCAGGGAGAAAGATGATGGCTAACGTCTGGTTTACCCACAGCCCAGCAAGGGTGGTGAAAGGCCGAGATTTGGCTTCTGCTCCTCCCACTGGAAGAAGGGTCTACCTCTTCTGTAGCTTGCTGTGTGTGATCCATTCACCCAAAGCAGGGAGCCCAGAGTCAGGACTAGAGGGACCCAAACCCTTATGCCACATACAGGCACTCCTAGAACTCTAGGAACCGGGGCATTACCCCTGGCCCTGGTTATTTGGAGACAGGCTGAAATCAGAGGCAGGAAGTTGAGGAAAGATTCTGATGATATCTTATGGCCTGTATGTTCTCTTGTCCCAGGCAGCCTGTTCAGGGTCATCTGATTAGGCAAATGGCCTGAGTGTCTGGCCATCTGGTCACTCCAGGGGCAAGACCCCTCTGGGCCCAGCAGGAGTGAAGGGGTTACATGGGGTCTTCATGGACAAAGAACACACACACACACACACACACACACACACACACACACACACAAACACACACTCCGGGGCCCTGACCTCAGCTAATTAGCCTCCAGTGTCTGTGGACTAAGAGAGCTGATACACAGTATTTGAGTTCTCTGTGTTTTTCCCCTTTCCACCCCAACTTGGCCTTGCTAGGTACTTCTGACATCTAAGGGCAGAGGGAATCCTCCCTCCCTGGCTGGCTTCTCTAACTTTGACAGCTGTCTCCTCTGTCCCAGCAGGCCGCTGTGTCTGGTGGGGGGGACCATGGGACAACCAGGGAGCATGACATCAGAGGATCCCTTGAAAAACTTTCTTCTTTCACTTGGGCTGGGTGGGGGCCTCAGGAGACTTGCTCCTTGGAGATGCAGGCCTCCCGCACCCCCTGGGCAGACAGATGTGCAGCCTGGGGGCAGCCCAGACAGGCTGGAAAACAGCAACGTCCTGGAGCCCGAGATGGGGGACAAGGGAAAAGTGCGCGCACACACACACACACACACACACACACACACACACACACACACGGGAGTTTGGCCAGAAAAGTTTCCTGCAGGAGGAAAAGCCTCCTTGGCTGCAGGTTTCTCCCTGGACCCAAAGAGTTTGCTCCAGGAATCGTCTGGGAAGAGAGGGCAGCGGCAGCAGCTTCCACAAATAGCAGCACAACTTCAGTCCTAAAAGTCCCCCAAACTTCCCCCTCCCTCTCTCCCTCTTTCTTTTGTTCCCCACTGCATTGCCAACCAGGCAGCTCCCGGCTTCCCACACTGGACTGTCCTCCCCCAACCCCAAACCCTCAGCAGCCCGCGCCTCCCCGCCGGGCCCGCCCGCGCCCCGGCCCCCGGCGCCCCGGCCGGTCGGCTGGATGGGGGGCGCCTACCCGCCTTGCAGGGGTCTTTGTAGCCGACGGGCTCCGAGTCGTCCTCCTCCCCCAGGTCATAGGTGTAGTCGGCCAAGTCCAGCGGCCGGCCCGGGCGCGGCAGCAGCAGCAGCCAGAGCAGCAGCGGCAGCGGCAGGCGGGCCACGCCGGGCATGCTGGAGGGCGCGGCGGCGGCGGGCGCGGTGGCGGCGGTGGCGGCGGTGGTGGCGGCGGCGGCGGCGGATTGCGCCCGGACGCGGGAGCCGGCGAGAGGGGAAGCGGAGGACTGGCGGCGAGGGGAGGGCGCTCCCCTCCGCTCGCCCTCGCGCTCCCTCCCCGCGCTGCCCCCCCTCGCGCGTCCCTACCTCTCCCTCTTCCCTGTCCTCGCCCCCCTCCTTCCTGTCTCCCGCCCCCTCTCCGGCCCGGCTCCTCGGCCCTCTCCCTGCGCCTCCAGCCTTCTCCGCTCCCTTCCCTTCTTTTCCTCTTTCCTTCTCTCCTCCCTCCCTCACCCCCCCCTTTTAGGGAAATGAGCTCGCTGGAGGGCGGGTTTTCGCCCGGAGCTCGGCCCCCCTCGGGTCCGGGACAGCGCACGGCCGGGCCGGGCGGCGCGCCAGCGGGGGGCGGGGACCGCCGGGAGCAGGCCCGCCCCGGGAGGGGGCTCGGGCGGCCCGGGGCGCGGGCCGGCGGGGCCGGGGATGGGGCGCCGGGCCCCGAGGTGCCCGGCCGACGGCCGCTCCCGCGAGGTGCCCTCTAGCGGCGGCTCGTCCCGCGGGCGCCGGGCCCGAGCCCCGTCCCGGGCAGCGGGACACGCTGTCAGGTCGCTCCGCTGCTTCTGCCCGCCTCCGCCCCCGGTCTCTGCGTTTCTCTGCCTGCGTCTCTCGGTCGCTCGGTCTCAGCTTTTGTCGGACCCTCGCCCATCGCGATCCCTGTCTCTCTAGTTCTGTCGGTCTCTGGCTGTCTCTGTCTCTCGTCCTCCCTCGGGAGACACCACTGGAGGGCGCCTAAAGCCTGTGGATTGCCCAGTCCCCTCGCCACTGCCCCCTGTCCCCCATCACGCCCTGACGGGGGGGGGGAGGGGAAAGCCCCGTCGCTTCCCCAGAGCCCTACCCTGCCCCTAACTGGCCCCACCAGGAGAAGGACTGGGGGCGTGTGGGAAGATGGAAGAGGCGCTCCCTTTGTTTTTCAATCAGGCTGCTTTATTCTTTCGTGGTAGGAGCCCCTTGGCCCTAGGAGCCGTATCTCTTCTGCCCGCTCCCACCTCTCCCCACAGCTCCCATTTCTCCAGCTCCAGTCCCTGTGGTGTGGGTAGGAGCAGCTTCCTATCTCTCTGCAAAAGGCCCTTAGCGCATAGATCTTTCCTCTTCACTTGGGGCTTCCACAGGCCCTGAGAAGCAAACAAACACTGTTTATTATGTGAGGGAGAGGGACCGGGAGGGGGCAGTCTATGAACCTTCCCTCCCCTGAGCTCCCTAGATGGCCCCGCTCAGTGGATTCCCCAGTTCCTGGTCAGCTGACATGGCAAGGTGGCGCAAGCCTTCCTGGGCCACTGCCGCTCGGTGCCCTGGCAGTCACACCTGCTCACCTGAGGGGTCCTAGATGTAGTAGAGGGGCACCTCGCCACACAGGGTCCTCACTGTGGTGCCCAGGAAGTCCAGGTCCCCAGGGGATTCTGAGCCAGCATCATGGCCCTCCTCCTGGCCCAGCTTAGAGGTAGACCCTGCAGGCTTGACCTGGAAAGAGCACCTAATTTAGAGCCTGGGAACTGAGTTTCTGTCTCACCTATGGCATTACTGTGGGACCTCAGGCATGTCAGGCCATCTCTCCGAGCCTCCTAAAAGCCTTGCTTTCCTCACCAGTGAAGAGGGGGCTGTGCTGGAGTCAGAAGCCCCCGGGGAGTGAGGTTCAGCTGAGGCCAGCAGCTTGGCATCAGGGAAGGGCTGGGGAATTCGTAGGGAAGATGTGGTACAGGTGAGTTTAGAGACGGGCAGCCCCCACACTTTACAGGTGACAAACAGCTGTCATCTCAAATGCTCCTCCCAGCAGCCCTGGGAAGGGGACAACCCACTCCTCCTCACCCACACAGACCTACCTGGAAGTTCTGGAACTTTCTAGTGAGAGCCTCAAGACTTGGGATGTTCTCCGGAGCCATCTTCATGACATAGCAACAGGTTCCTGGGGCTGGCTTATAGGCGATCAGGAGCTGAGCACAGGAAGCCCAGAGTTCATTCAAGAAGGCCCTGCCTTGCTCACTCCCTAACCCTGATCCTGGGCCATCTCCCTCTAGGTTAGGCACCTGAGGGAGTCCTCTTGGAATCTGGGGCTCAGCCTGGGGAGGCAAAAGGGCTAGGGGCTGGGGAGAGCTGGATGTGCATGAAGTGGCACAGCTGGGTGGCCTAGCGGTCTTGTCATCGGCCCCCAGCCCCAGCCCCAGGGCCAGGAGGTCCGGTATACCCACCCGCTGGTAGTCATACACTACAATACCACTGGAGCCAATGGAGAAGGTGGCGGTGGTGCCCGCACGCTCCTGCACGGCCAGGCGCTGCTGGGCTTCCGGTCCCCCAATGCTCATCTCCAGGACCTGGGGGAGGGCACAGGGTGGCCTGGTATTTCTCTTTCCCCACTCGTCCCTTCAGTCCCCATGTCCACCCTCAGCCCTCTTTACTAAAATGCAATCCCTTCTTCCCTGGGAGCCCAGACAGGCTGGGTGGGACCGGATGCTGGAAGGAACAGGCTGCCAAGCCAGCGAAAGGCCTGGTGGAAAAGCCTAAGCCAGAGTTGCCACCCTGTTCCTGCTTCTGTCCTTTCTTGAGGCACCCCTTGCCTGCTCCCCTCCATACCCCCCGACCCCGGACACTTCACTCTCTGCCCAGCCCGCCCAGCCCCTTTGTTTGGCGTGTCCTCTACCCACTGCCCACCCCATTCTGGGCCTGCTCACCATCTCAGTGTGTTTCTGGCTCATGTGAAGACCCATTAGCAGGGCCCCTACAATCACCACGACCACAAGGACTATCACCACGACCACGATGAGAAGGCGTTTGAGGCTCGCAGGGAAGCAGGGGATGCCGAAACGGCCCTGGGGGGCTGCCGAGTAGTCCTGACATGGTGGGACAGGCAGGGAGACAGGTATGAGGTCATGAGCGGGGCCCTTCTTCTCTCTGCACAAGCTAGACACCCTCCCACAGCTGGACACCAATACTATGGGTTTGCAGAGGAGGGCTGAGACCAGGGAAGGCTTCTTGAGGAGGTGGTCTGGATTCCAACAGAAAGGCTTAGACGTGAAGTCTAGCGTGGAGAGACCCAAGGGAGCCTGCTTCGCCAGTCTCATCTCCTGCTGTTTCCTCCAGACCCTTGGCACCCCAGCCATCCCCAACCCTCTCTGTTCCCCCAAATAATCCATGCTCTCTCACACCTCCCTGCCTTTACACATTCTACCCCTTCTTCCTGCAATGCTTGCCTTCTCCACCTAGTGAGCTCCTACCTATTCTTCTGGAGCCAGCTCAAATGTCCTTTTCTCTGTGAGGCTTCCTGTGAGTCCCCGCATAGTGTCTGCTTATGCAGTGCTCTCTGCAGCTCTTTCCACTGACCACTCTGGTGGCTCTCGGCCCCTCACGTTGGAGTGATCAGTTGCCATGTCCATCTCCCCGAAGGACTCTGCCTTAGTGGCTGGTGTCCCTGCCCTAACTTAGCGCGGTCCTAGGTTAATTAAGTGAATGAAGTTGGATGAAAAGACTGGCTCAGAGAGCTTGGATGAGGCAGGGCCCAGCTCACACACATGTACGCACACGGTCATACTCACTGGCGGGCTCTCAATCAGGACCTCCTTGCTGCCAACATCCATCTTGCTGTAGGCGTCTTCCCCACTCATCTCCCAAGTGTGACTAGGGTCTTATATGTGCCGGTAGGGAGAGAGGACAGAGGTGAAGGATCCGGCCTCCTTCTGCCAGCCAAGCCCTTGGCTTTGAAGCCTGTTTGTTCCTGGCCCTCCAGACCTGAGGTCCCGATAAGCCAGCTGCAAGGGCGCCTGAGGGCCCTTGGCCCTGGCCCATGAGTCCTCCTGGCCCCGGCCAAAGCAAAGCTGGGTGCGCTAAGCAAACTTGCCCTTGGGCAATCTGCGCCTCCCACTGTAGGTGTCTTCCTGGCGTTGGCCGCCTTTCTTGCTGGTACCTGCCCCTGCAGTCTTGTGGCTTTCCCTGTTCCTCTGCCAGGTTGAACCTCTCAGGCAGCCAGGGGTCTGACCCAATGGGGAGTCCACCACACTTCCCAACAGAATTCCCCCCGTGCAGAGGGATGAGCTCCAGGAAGGGGAGTGAGAAGGCAGTGCCTGTGGACCCAGGAGGTCCTGCTGAAGGCAGGTGGGTGCTTTGGCATCAGTGTGGGGGTTCATATGTGGCCATTTCTCAAAGAGCCTCACATTTTCACTTCAAGTATGCCACCTGCCTGGCCTCCTCCCACACATCTGGTACCTAACCTCAAACTTGCCGCTAGTCATTCTTTTCCTAATTCTGAAAACTCTTCCCCTCTGGCTATAAATTTTTACCTACTAATGTGTGGTTTTTCATCCTTTGCTATGGGCTTGTTTGGAAGCTAAAGGCTTTCCCCCCCTGCTTTTACTTTTATTCACATTTATTTTATGCTGAATTTATTCCCAGGCCATACGTTGTTGTTTCTCCAGTTTCTTGTGGGCTATCTTTCTCATCTGTGCCACCTCCTCTTCTGGGTTGGGAACAATCTGCTCTGTTTCAGGAAGGATCATCTCAATGTGGCAAGGAGAGCTCATGCAGGGGTTAATCCGACCAGGAGCTCTGTAAACTTAATGGCTCATTTGGGGGCTCTGTTCACCTGGATGTGCTCGATGACCAGAGAATCTACATCTAAACCCTTAAGTTCAGCATTACTCTCTGCATTTTTAAGCATGTGCAGCAACAATTCAGCACTCTTCAGGCCGCTGGCCCTGTGTCCAGACCCACTGTTTGGCCCCGGGCACACCTATCAGCTCCACCATTATAATGATGGAATGGCCCACATTGCTTCTGTAAAGTGACTCCAGATACTTGGTGGCTTTGGGGATATACATGCCCTTGATGATCTGGGCAGTTTCATGAGTGCTCTTAAAACGAATGTGAAGATTTGAACCTCTTGATGGGAATGATTTTGTCGGGTTTTCTGCATCAAGTAAACAGTGAACCATTTTCGGAGATCAAGCGGAAGGCTTTTGATAGCAGATTCCACACCTGACACTCCTTTCTTGTGCCCAGACAGCCTTGCGCAGGGCTGGCTGCGGTGACTGATGGGATCCCCATCTCCTCATTCTGGAATCTCACCTGCTTGGTGCTGCCTATGACCCTATCCCTCTAGGCTCCTCTGTTTATACCCTCGGATCCTAAATTTGCACTGAGAATGCTCCTCACCCTAATGTGATGCACTTTCTGGGCCTTCTCCTTCACCCTTCCATCTCTTTTACCTCCTTCCTCAAAGCCACTTCTGTTGCTTGGTTGTACTAAACTAAATCGACCAATGGCTGCATCCTCTCTTGAGCTTTCCTCCACTTGCTGGGCCAGGTGGTCTCTACAGTGCCTTTCCCTTGGAACTTTCTAAGTGTCTAAGTCAGAGCCCCACCCTCACTCCTCTGGGCCTCTCTTAGCCTCCTGATACTTAAGCTCCAACACTTCACCCCAGTTCCTGTCCCTGGTCTGGGGGCTCCCTTACACCTTGGCCCTGCCCTTCATTCATGAGCTGGCCCCCAGCTCTCCAGCCCTGGCGGGTTGCCCCGTCCCCACGAGGACCTCCTCTTCAGCAGGAGAGCCTTCAGCCTCTAGGTTGCACAACAGCATGGCATCTGAGCTGAGAGTGCCTGAGAAGCTCAGGGAAGGAGAGAGGGGAGGGGAGGGAGTGTTTGCTCCCACCACCCCTTCCTCACCCCCCACAACTGCCCCTTTAAATATTTGCTGAAACCTCTAGCAGCAAGTGTCCTAGGAGCAGTGGGCGGGGATGGGGGGTGGTGGGGGGGTGGGGGGGGGGGGTGGGGGGGGTGGGGGTGGTAGTGTCCAGGGAGGAGGGGGAGGCATTCTCCTCTTAACTGTGTGCAGCCTCCGCTGGGGTGTGCAGGTGCCAGATGTAGGAGACAGCTGCCTGTGGTGCCCGCCCCCAGCGCCCCCAGTGCGCCCACCCCACTCCCGCCCCAGGTTGTCCTGGCAACGCTGCGATTGATTGGCTGACTCACACACACTGGGCCTGAGCCAGGTGGGCAGTGGGCCAGCAGGAGAGCCAGGGAGGACTGCAAGCATCTCGGGGTCCCTGCGGGCATCTCAGGCGGCCGCATGGCCCAGCTGTGGAGCTTGTTCTGAACGGGCGCTGTGTGTAGGGCTTGCCGTCATCAGCTGGTGCTGAGAAAGGAGTCTCTCTTGGAAAGAAGCCTCTGCTCTCTCAAGTCCTCAGTCTCCCCTGCAGGCTGCCCTTTGGCTGTAATTCTCGCAAGCTTTGTGGGTTTTCTTTTCTTTTTCTTTTTTCTTCCACTTGTTTTTGCCTGTTTGGAGGTTGGGGAAAGAAGGTTGCCCTCAAGTTTCACAAGGGGAGTTCAGATGCTAGCGCCAACCCCTCTGGCACTGACCCAGTAGAGGTCTTGGGGTCCTTATCTTCGGTTTCAGGAAATGAGGAGGGACCTTTAGCTGGGCATGGATAGCTGCCCCCCGTCTCCCCCCCGCCCCCCACCACACACCAGCCCTCTGCTGCAGACTTTTCACATCTTGGCCTTTACTTAGGCCGTTTCTCCCTCCTGGAAATCCCACCTTCAATGCCCCTCCACCTCTCCGAGTGCCATCAGCCCTACAAGGCCAGGCAAGAGCCACCTCACTGGCCCAGGCTACGGTGCCCCCTCCCTCCTCCAAAATCTCCCGGCCTCCTGCTGCCCTTTCACCTGCCATTTAGCACGCACTGCTGTTCTCATCAGCTATGCGGGAGCTTTTCGTTGCCCTATCTTCCCTGGGACTGGCCCTGAGACCATGCTTTCCTGAGGCTTCTTTGTACCTGCTGCAGGGCAAGGGGCACGACACAGCCAACATGTAATTATATTCAAGGATAGGACGGTCACCAAACATGAAGGGGCTCCAGGTGAGCGGTCAATAGTTCATTTCTTCAGCATGTGGAGGTCTTGGTGCTTCACTGGCCAGCTCTGGGATCCTGAATGAATCCATCTTTCTGCCTTTCCAGGCTTGAGTGTGTTCAACTGTGAAATGGGACTAGTCTGCCCATCCTGTCCCCCTTTCCAAGCTGTTGTGAAGATCCAATGACATCATCAATCCAATCGTCATGATTATCATCATCTACTTCATCCCCCAAAACACCTCTTCTCGCTAGCTGAGAATAGGGCCCAGACTCCCCCTTTCTGTCTGTCTCCGGGCTAAATCCCTCTGGGAGAACTGTAGGTGATGGAGAGCCACCCCTTCCATGTGAGCCTCTTCTTTTCCCCCTTCCAGCTCCTCAGCTGCAGGGGCTGGGACAAGATTCACTCTGCCCTTTGTGCGCTGGGCAGAGCCGTGCCAGGGACGGGTGGGGAGGGTACCCAGCTGCCCTGGCCACCCTCCCCACCCCCGTTGCTTGTCTTCCCACACGCTGGCATACAGAGGACTGCACGGGCAGCTGGATGGGCAGTGGCAAGCGAGCATCAGAGGGACAGGGCATCCCTGCTTGAGAGAACATGGACAGATGTAAGCTCCAATCAGAGAAGCCCCTGCTGGCAGAGGCTGGGGACAGCTGGGGACACATCTTAAACGCAGTGATCTCAGTTTCCTGGCCTGATACGGACAGAACACTAGACTGGGAGCACATTCACCTGACTTCCAGGCTCCCCTAGTCCTGTACCCCCGGACTTTTTGCACAGTCAATCCTGCACACAGACTCCCCCAGGGAGGTAACACAGCGGAGAGCAGCAGTTCTCAAACATTTTGGTTTCAGGACCCTTTAACATTCTTAAAAAATATTGAGGACCCCCAAAGAGCTTTCGTTTATGTGGGTTATATCTATTGATATTTACCATATGGATATTTACTGAGAAATTGAAAAGTGTTAATTAATTAATGAAAATTGCAATAATAAACCCATTCTATGTTTTAAGATAAATAACACAAATTTTAAAAAATTATTTTACAAAGCAAAAAATTAGAGACAAGAGTGTCATTGTTTTACACTTTTGCAAATCTATTTTTTTAAATGTTTATTTATTTAGAGAGACAGCAGGAGCGGAGGGAGGGACAGAGGGAGAGACTCCTCAAGTAGACCCCCTGCTGAGCCGCACACAGGGCTCGATCCCCGGACCCTGAGATCATGACCTCAGCCAAAATCAACTTAACCAACTGAGCCACCCAGGTACCCCTTGCAAATCTCTGTAATTTCTGGCTTAGTAAGAAGATACATCATGTAGCCTCTGGACAATTCCAGGGTATTTTCGTGAGAGTGTGAAAGTGAAAAAGTAAAATTAAGTTTTAACGTTCTTAGGACAATTGTTTTGACCTCAGTGACTCCCTGGAAGGTTCTCCTGGACTCCCTGGACCACACTTTGGAAACCCCTGGTATAGAAGTCCGACTGTGGGGCGCCTGGGTGGCTTGGTCGGTTAAGCGTCTGCCTTTGGCTCAGTTCATGATCCCAGGTCCCTGGGATCAGGTAACATGTTGGGCTCCCTGCTCAGCGGGGAGCCTGCTTCTCCCTCTGCCTGCCACTCTCCCTGCCTGTGCTCTCTCTCTCTCAAATAAATTAAAAAAAAAAAATCTTAAAAAAAAAAAAGACGTAGGACTATGAACTTCGGAGTTGGGCAGAGTGGGTTGAAATCCCTGTTCTGTCTCTTTCTTCGGGTACTATCAGCCTCACTTCTCTTATCTGTAAAAAGGGATTCATATCATCCACCTTAAAAGTTTGGAAGGATTAAGTACATAGAATACAAAACACACAGTCGATGTGACATCAAGCTGGGCTGCCTTCCTCTTAGTTTGGGCCTCAGTTTCCTCATTTGTGACAAAGAGCTGGACTGGAAAACGTCCAGGGCTCTACCCAGCTTCAACAGTCTGTGGTTGGGTAGGGACAGATGTTCCAGAATTCCACACACTCCCACTCCAACTCAGTAACAAACATTTCCCTTTTCAGCTCACAGAGACACAAAGGCACATTCTGTTCATGGGCTCGTGGACACACATGTGAACACAGCTACACACATGTCGCTGATGACACACCCATGAACTCTTGTTTAGAGGATGTGTCCCCCTGAGGGCCACGACAGAGGGACAGGCACACAGAGGCACGTGGATCCACAATGCGGAAATGCCCCCACCAGGGGATAGGGGCCTGAGGGCAAGTGGCCGTGCAGACGCAGAGGAGGCACATGCACACCTGCACTCACGACAGCCTCCCTGGGCGCCAGACATGCAAGCGGACGGCCCCCGGGAGACCCGAGACCGCTGCTAGGGCGCATAGCGTACAGGGCCGCAACCACTCCTTTCTTGGGCTACTCCCAGCTGGGGACTCCCCCCCGCCCCCGCCCTGCACCCTCCGCCCTCCGCCCTGCGCGCGCCCCCGCCGCAGTCCGCGTGCGCCCCCGCCGCAATCCGCGTTCGCCCCCGCCGGTCAGCCCGCGCTCGGCTCCGGGCCCGCGCAGCTCTCCCTGCCGGCTCGCGAGAACGAGCAGGGGAGGGGACGGAGCCGGCGCCCCGAGGGCTGGAGGAGTCCGCTCTCCGCAGCGGGCGGCCGGGCCCCTAGCTGCGGCAGCAGCCGGCGGCGGCGGCGGCGGCGGCGGCGGGGACGTGCCAGCCCGCGCTGGGTGGCGGAGAGCCCGCGGGGCGGGGGCTGCGGCCGGTGGTCCGCGAGAGAGCTTGCAGGCAGCATGGCGGGGCTGCGGGCCAGGCGGAGCTCCGGGCTCCGGCTGCTGGCGCTGTCCGCGCTCGGCTTCTGCCTGATGCTGCAAGTCAGTGCCAAGAGGCCCCCCAAGACGCCCCCCTGCCCGCCCAGCTGCTCTTGCACCAGGGACACCGCCTTCTGCGTGGACTCTAAGGCAGTGCCCAGGAACCTGCCCTCCGAGGTCATCTCTCTGTGAGTGTCCTGCCCTGGTTTGGGAGGTGGGGGAGCGGAGAGAGGGAGCAAGGCAAAAGCCCTCTGAAAGTGGATGCATGCTCCCCCTCTACAAAGTGTGGGGGGCAGGAGGACTCCAGGGGTCCTCAGGACTGGAGATTCAAGGCATCAGCCGGGCAGGGAGTTCTGTAGTCATGCAGGCTCAGCAGCCATGGCTGCGGAAAACAGGAGTTTATGGCCAAGAATGAATCATCACCATCAGCATCGGTGAGACCTACTGTGTGCAGGGCTCTGGCCATGGGTGGAGGGGTTGTTTACAAGAGCATGTGGGCCCCTGCCTGTGATGTCACACCAAGGGCAGAAAGGCTTCTTGTGGGGGGAGGGGTAGAAGTGACATGCACCCACACAGAGCCCTGGCACCGGGCAGCCGCCTTCCACTGGTCTTACATCCACTCTGCACTGGGCCAGCCAGCCTGTCGCTTGCAGTAAATGGCCGCAGGGACTAGATGGGCTGTGTGGTCCTTAAGAGCAGGATGCTAATCCCCCACCCCCATCCCAGTGCCCCATCCCTCAACAGCACCCAGCACACGGTGGGTGTTGGGATGGTCTTGAAGGTGTGGGTACTGGAACCTTCTTTTGGCCGAAGGGGAAGCTCAGCCAGGGGCCCCTGGTGCTCAGGGAGGCAGTGGGGGTGGGGTAGTGATGAAGGAAGGCAATGAATTTTTCATAAAGAGAAGAGAAGGGTAGCCTCAGGTAGGGGGCCTGGGCTGGTGAAATGGGGAGTGTCCAGGCTGTGTGTGTAGAACCATTGCCCTGTTCACCTTGTGTGCCCTTCCACCCCCAGTCCCTGCATAGTCCCCACAGCACTGACTCCACTGTCCCCTGCAGGACGCTGGTGAATGCTGCCTTCTCGGAGATCCAGGATGGAGCATTTTCCCACCTGCCACTGCTACAGTTCCTGTAAGGACAGGGGCTTGGGGTAGGGCAGGTAGGGGGTGGGGCAGTAGAAGGGGACAGACCCTGGACTGGGGAGAGGAGAGCAAATGTGCATAGCCATCGCACGTTAAGATGCAGGTGTCCCTTACTTTTGCTGGCTAGGAGAGCCACAAAAGGTGGAGCCGCATAGAGTCAGGAAGGGTGCAGGGAGCAGCAGGGGGAGAAGGAAGGAGGGGGTTGCATGCAAAAGCCAAGAGTGGGTATTTGGGGCCCAATTAGGAATGGAGACGCAAAGGAATTGGGCGCAGTAGCTTGGGCTGGTGCCAAAAGGTGGACATGGCAGGGGAGAAGGGTCATCTTAGAGACAGCTGACCCCAGGGACCAAGATTTGAAGAAAGCTCGGGGTCGAAAGGGAGGGAAGTGGGGGGTGTGGAATTTTAACAGGGGCTGTTACTGTTTGAAGCCCCAGTCGCAGGAGAGAGTGCCTTTGAGTTACCCCAACTCCTGTTCACCACGGGTTACCCTCAAACTCACCAGCAGTCTGAGAGGGACTGAGTGAGCTGGGGTGGGGGAGGGAGACAGACAGACAGTGGAGATGGAGACAGAGACAGAGAGACACAGTGGGGTGACAGGAGAGATCTGCCCCTGACTGTTTGTACCCTTGAAGCAAAAAGCTTCTGGGCCCAGAATAGGCTCCTGGCTGGTCTTGCTGCCGGGCTGCTCTGGGGTCCCAAGGTGGGACAGCAGGACCCCGGGACTGTGAGGAAGGCCCAGGGTGAGGCTGCAGGCTGGGGGGCTGGCACAGCGGGCACACCCTTGGAAGCTCTAATTCCCCCTCTGTCTCTCCAGGTTACTCAACTCCAACAAGTTTACACTGATTGGAGACAACGCCTTCACAGGACTGTCGCACCTGCAGTACCTGTGTGTGGCAAGGAGTGGGGAAATGGGAACCAGAAGGGAGGAGGGAGCCCGGCCTGGGTGGGCTGAGAGGGCAGGTTGAATGAGGAAGGCTGGGGGAAGGGGGGGAACGGGGAGGGAGAGCCCTTGAATCCTCTGACTGTAGGACCCAAGCAGAGGGTCATTTCATCCATCCCTCTGCCTAAACCATCCTGCCCGGATGCCTGGTCACCACAGGCTTCATGTCACCAGAATCAGAATGGAAGCCTGTCTCAGGACCATGGGCAGGAATCTAGGTGGGGCAGAGGGAAATAGCTCTGGGATACTGAGTGGCATCTAAGACAAATTCTCATTGTCTCCAGCTTCATTGAGAACAATGACATCTGGGCACTATCCAAGTTTACCTTCAGAGGACTCAAGTCTTTGACACACTTGTGAGTACATCACGGATACACACACATGGGACCCAAACCCCACATCTCCTGTGGCCTTTGGCCTCAGTCAGGTGACCCAGGGGTCTCTTGTGAGATCTTCAGGTGACCCAGGGGTCTCTCTTGCAGATCACTGGCCAACAATAACCTGCAGACACTGCCTAGAGACATCTTTCGGCCCCTGGACATCCTGAGTGACTTGTAAGGCTGAGCCCTACCTCTTTCGACAATGCCACAGAGGGGTGCATCTGGGGAGAGAGTGGTGTGGGAGCCAGAACTGGGAAGATCCTAAGGTCTTGGGAGGCTGGGAGGGCTTGGGTTTGGGGATGCCTCCTAGAAGGAGATACACAATGTATGTTTCTTAAACATGTACATTTTAAATGTATGTTTGATTTGAATGTACATTAAAGTCCTATAGCAGAGCCACAATCATTAATCAGTATTTACACAAGAAAATAAAAAAAAACAACAACCCAGGATTGTGGAAGGTTTGAAGGAACTGAGATGCAACATAGTTGTGCAGGTTATACCCTGCAAAAGGCACCTGACCCGGGAGGCCAGTAGGGACTAAAACTCGGCCCCTACTCTGCTGGCCAAGCACATGTCCATGGGGTGGCATGTAGCCCAAGGGGAACTTTTCTCTAATCTGTGCAAAGATGCCATGTGAGCAGCGAGGAGCAGCCTTGATTATACCCACTTCCAAAAGCCTAGAGAGCCCGGGGTGGGGGGGTGGGGTGTAGAGCCGCTGGGAGCCTATTCATCTCTGGGTTCCCTCCATCCCCCTCACGAGCCAGGGACCTGCGGGGCAACTCGCTCAACTGTGACTGCAAGGTGAAGTGGCTGGTGGAGTGGCTGGCGCACACCAACACCACAGTGGCCCCCATCTACTGTGCCAGCCCGCCCCGCTTCCAAGAGCACAAGGTGCAGGACTTGCCGCTGCGGGAGTTTGACTGCATCACCACGGGTAAGAGGTGCCCCCCCCCACCGCAGGCCTCCCCAGGGCAGCTCCTGGAAGCACCCCCAGCCTCCGCCTTGCCAGTCCAGCAGCCCTTACCCCCCAACAAGCTTTTACCCTTCTTCTTCCCACCCCTCACCTCTTGTCCCTGCAGATTTCGTGCTGTACCAGACCCTGTCCTTCCCAGCCGTGTCAGCCGAGCCCTTCCTCTACTCCAGCGACCTCTATTTGGCTCTGGCCCAGCCAGGTGCCAGTGCTTGCACTGTCCTCAAGTGGGACTATGTGGAACGGCAGCTTCGAGATTATGATAGAATCCCAGGTACCTATCCCCGGCCTGGCTGTGGTGGCCCCCACAATGCGCTGGGCTCCATTGTTCCTCCCCATTGAGTTCCTAGGGGTAGAGGCAGAGATGAGACACGGTCTCTGCCCATAATAACTTTCCAGTCTTTGGGGAGAGGCCAATACATACACACATAACATCCATATAATAGGTGGGTATGAGGAGGGAGATATGAATACGATGCTCTGGGACCACAAAGGAGAGATCTACCCTGGGCAATCAAGGAAGTCTTCCTGGTGGAGGGGATGCCTGAGCTGAGTCTTGAAGGGTGAGGGAGAGTCAGAGGTGATGCCTAAGTGCCTGGCTTAAGTATTGGGTGGTGCCAGTGAACCAAGAAGGAAGTAAGAGTGGCTAGTGAGCTCAATTTGGGATCCACTGAATTTGAGCTGAGTCTAGAAGGCTGAGGGAGACTTAGCTCAGAGAAAAAATTGTGGGAAGGGTATTCTGACAGCGAGAACAGTATGAGCAAATTCAAGAAGGTATGCAACAGCTTAGTGCATGAGTGCGTGCATGCGTAAACCATAAGCAGCTCATATGACTACAGCATAAGGGTCAAGGTCGAAAGAGGCAGATGAGACCCAAGAGACATGAGGACCAGGTCACAGGCAGATTTTGAGCAGAGTGTGTTAAACAAACCAACCAGTATTTTAGCACACTTTCTCTGTATGCAGTGTGGTGAGTGGCTTGGCATGGGACAAAGTGTGGGCACACCGTAAGGGGGGGATGTGCTAGAGCATGGACTGGGGCAACAGAGGTGGGGATGGAGAGAGAGATTTAGAATGGAGGAGTGAACTGACACAAGAGGAAACAGAAAATTTAAATTATCCTGTATCTCTGAAATAATTTGAAGTCTTTATAAAAAAGAAACCCTTCCCACAAAAGAAGACTCCAGGGCCAGATGGTCTCCCTGGTAAATTCTAGAAAACATTTACAGAAGAAATAATAGCAATCCTACACAAACTGTATTAGAAAGCAGAAGGGAGGGTTGACAGGACTCGGGACTGATCAGCTGTGGGTGAGTGAGGGACAGGGAGGTGTTGGGGATGGCTCCAGGTTTCTGGACAGGGTGACTGGGTGGAGCCACAAACAGAAATTGAGAACACAGAGGAGGAAGAGGAGCAGGTTTGAGGGCAGATATGTGCCCAGTCATGGCCAGATGGAGTTTGAGGTGCTCTTGGGGGTGTGGGCATGGAGAGTCTGAGCTGCAGCTTGGGAGCTGGGGGATTATGAGTATCTGGGCAGGTGGACCAAGGCTGTGGAAGGGACTTGGGGTGACTGCCAGAGCCCTGGGGTTCAGCATGGGCTTTCCTGGGGGGAGAGGTGGGGAGGAGGAAGGTGGCCAAAGCAGTGCTGGGAAGGAGGAGAGGAGAGGTAATAATTAGGGACATCAGGACGGGTGAAGAGTGTGGCCCCGTGTGCTTCAGGTGCCTGAGAAGGGGCAAGATCGATCTGGTTGTTGAGCAAAAGTACATTCCTGCAGACATCTCGTACATAAAAGCCCCTTCAAAAGTGGGAATTCTTAGGATAATGTGTTTTCATACCCAACTATTCAAACATCAAACTGTCATTGTATGTACCTTGGCTCTATCACCTGGCTGTGGATGGGCTCAGACTCTTCCTCCTTCTGCTGCCTGGCATCTATCTGGCCAGCCAGGTAGCTTTGGGCAAGTCCCTTAAACTCTGAGCCTACTTGTTTCCATGTGAAATGGGCAAAATAACAGGATCCATTTCAGGGTGATTAATTGAGGCAATCTGTTTACACTCAGCACAGGGACTTCACACAACAAAAATTCAATAATCGACATTATGGATAAACAACTGGTCAATATCTAGGGACACCTATTTTGTGCTCAGTGTCAGCTGATATTAAAACCCTGGGGTCAAGGGTGGAGGGATAGTGATGCTGAGACAGATTATTAGCTGGGAAAAGCGGATGAAGTTCAGTGGGAGGGATACTGTAGCAGAGAGCCTTAGTCCTGTGCCAGGGTTGGAGGGGAGTGACCCCCTTTTCCAGGGGCATGGCATGCGGTGGGGCCCGCGGCTGCCTGACCCTGCCTGATGCTGCGTCTCTCCATCCTGGCAGCCCCCTCTGCCGTGCACTGCAAGCCCATGGTGGTGGACAGCCAGCTGTACATGGTTGTGGCCCAGCTGTTTGGGGGCTCTTATATTTACCACTGGGACCCCAACACCACACGCTTCACCAAGCTGCAGGACATTGACCCACAGCGCGTGCGCAAGCCCAACGACCTCGAGGCTTTCCGCATCGACGGTGACTGGTACTTTGCTGTGGCCGACAGCTCCAAGGCGGGTGCCACCAGCCTCTACCGCTGGTACCAGAACGGCTTCTACTCCCACCAGGCCCTGCACACCTGGCACCGTGACACTGACCTGGAGTTTGTGGATGGCGAGGGCAAGCCACGGTTGATTGTGTCTAGCAGCTCCCAGGCGCCTGTCATCTATCAGTGGAGTCGCACCCAGAAGCAGTTTGTGGCCCAGGGCGAGGTGACCCAGGTTCCTGATGCCCAGGCCGTGAAACACTTCCGTGCCGGTCGCGACAGCTACCTGTGTCTCAGCCGCTACATCGGCGACTCTAAGATCCTGCGCTGGGAGGGCAGCCGCTTCTCTGAAGTGCAGGCCCTGCCCTCCAGGGGCTCCCTGGCCATGCAGCCCTTCCTCGTGGGCGGCCGCCGCTACCTGGCGCTGGGGAGTGACTTCTCCTTCACGCAGATCTACCAGTGGGACGAGGGGCGCCAAAAGTTTGTGCGGTTCCAGGAGCTGGCTGTGCAGGCCCCTCGGGCCTTCTGCTACATGCCTGCTGGGGACGCCCACCTGCTCCTGGCCCCCAGCTTCAAGGGACAGACCCTCGTGTACCGACACATCGTGGTGGATCTCAGTGCCTAGAGGGGTGCCGAGCCTCTGGGTGTCCGGGCGGCCCCTGGAGGATGCAAAGAAGTCTCTGTGAGCAGGATGTGTGCCCGTGTGAAGACACATGTAACCAACCTGCACACATGACCTCACGGACACCCCCCGCGCCCGCCCCCTCCATGAGCATGGGCACACACCATGGGCAGGCCCAGGGGAGACACTTATACCATAGTTGTCATCAGCATGGAGACTTGTAGATGTGCCAGGCAACCCAGCTGCCCTGTGCCCTCTCATACGTGGACATCTGTTGGCCCCACATTCTACCCAAAGACACCCCCCCATCCTTGATCTGCTGCTTTCCCCAGCAGACTCTGGCCCCAGGGGAGGAGTATGGGGGGGGGCAGAACCACCCCCTCCCGTTTTTCAGCTTAGCTTTCCTACTCTTTGGTCTCTCCTGTTGGTGCTTCGGGTGTCTGTTTTCCTGCTCATGTTCGGCACTGCAGCCCGCGGCCACATCCTTCACGCTGCTGGGCTCGCTCGCCCGCGCTATGCTCCTTCTGCATGCACACATGGACGCTGATGGACACCCTCAGTTACACACACACACCTGTTGACTCTCCCATTTCTGTGTGCACACATGCAGATTCAGTGCGGCCTAAAGAGGCTCTCCTTCATCACCTTGACTCTCTTCTTAGAGAAGGCACATGGTACCTGTCCTCCTCGGTTCATCTCTGGTGTGCCCACCCTGTAGCTCATAAGGATGGCAATGGTAGTGCCAGCCTCTGGGCACAAGCTTGATCTCCTGGGGGCAAAGCCCCTCTGCCCAAAGCAATAAAGCAGACCCCGAGTTCTTCTTAGGGCCTTCTCTGTTCTCACTGGAGTTTCCTGCTCTGACTTTGAATCCAGCTCACCTGTGGACGGGAGACCACCCCGATAAAAGCCTTTCAGCTTTTCTTTGCTGTGGCCACCCCAGCTTCAGACCACCCCGTGGTTCAGCCCCACGTTTGGGATGTGGACCTTGAGCTGTGTAGGCTCTGTGAGGTGGGTCCAAGAGCTGGCCGAGCCAGGGCCCCGGCAAGCACCTGAGCCTACTGGGCAGGTGCCAAGAGTGGAGGAGGGCTAGAGAGCATCTTGGGGATCCCAAGACCTCTCCAATCCACAGAGGCAGGGCCCAGGAGCATTGCCTCCTAGTGCAAGCTGAGTGGTGGAGGGGGTGAGGGTCCGGTAGAAGCAGCACATGGGAGCCAAGCTCCTGCTGCCCTCTGCTGTGTGCTGGCAATACACAGCTCAGCCCTGCAAGGCCAGCGAAGGCGTGGGGTGAGGTGGGCAAACTTCCTTGTGCCCAGACTCTGGAGGGCCTACTGGTGGCAGGATGCCCAGGGGCACTTGGGGGCAATGTTATGACTCACTGCTGCAAATAAAAATTTCCCACCCCATTGCTTGCTCTCAGGTGTCCTGCAGTCACAGGCCGCCGTTTCATTCAGAACAGAGCCAAGGCTGTGCTCTCTGTCCCTGCCGTTCCCAGGCAGCCAGCATTAGCCTTCAGACCCCCTTCTTCCTTGCTCTCTTTCGGAAGAGCAAGTGGGTACCCCACGGTCAGCTGGTGCTGGGGTCAGGAGTTCACGATGATGACTCTCGGGTGCAGAGCAAGTGTGACTAGTCTCTACCACCTGGGGCTGACTCATAGCCCAATTGTTCCTTCCCGGAGATCACAGTCTTAGGGCCCACTGAGCCTGGGGTCTGTCCCTCCGTCCGGTCAACTCCCACCAACATGGCCAAAGGCAAACTCAGCAGTCCCTCCACTCCTCTCCCCTCTGTTCCATTGCAGCTAGCCCTTGCCCTAGGTGTGAGATTTCGAGCAAGTCCACTGACTTCCCTGGCTCTCGGTTTCTCCTTCTGTAAAGTCGACACTAAAACCTACTCTGTCAATTCTTGATCCTGCCACTTTGCAGCAGGGGCGTCCCCAACCATGATACTTAGCCCATTTGTATCTCCATTTTTCTCATCTGTAAAATGTGGATAATCAAGATACCTAGCTGACAGAGTTAGTGTGAGATTTAAATGCATGAACTATATGATACATTCACATATGGAAAGCCGTGGGAACAGTGCGTCCGACGCAGCGTTGTGACCCGTATTGGGCTTTAGGACTCTGTGAGGTGCTGAGGTGGCTCAGAGAAGGGTGATTGGTGGGAAAGGAGGAGGTTGGTCTTTGGGGAGAACTGCTGTCTGTGGACTAGGGCTTCTCCCCAGTCAGGCTCAGAGCCCCTGGGCCCTCTGTCTCTCCTGTAGCGGCAGCTGCCCCCACAAGCCTGCCCCTGAGCACACCCCCACACAATGCGGAGTCTCATGGGCGCTGTGTCTGGAGGTGCACCTCTTCCAACCACATCCGTGTACTCTTGGCTTAGCAGATGCCCCTCAGGCCCCCCAGCCACACTGTCCTGCTTTTTCAAATGGGGAATGGGCCCTCAGGCTGTGCCAGGGAGAAGTTGCTGGGGAAAGTGGGTTGAGTGTCCCAGACACATTGGTACACTGTTGCCTGGTGGAAAGATAAACATTCTGTCACTCTCCCTGGGACTCCCAGCGCTGGGAGACACTTCTCCCCTTGAATGCCCAGCTTTCTGCACATGGGGAATGAAGCCTGCTGTACGCCTGCCTGGTCACCTGCTCTGGGGGTCATCTGTGTGTCCAGAGAGTTGCTTAGCAACCCAGTGTAGCTGGGTGACTGTGTCAACATCTCATGACCAAAGGCCATGAGGGACAGAGTCCTCTCACTCTGCACCCCTCAGCTCCCAGCCACATGCCCCTCCACGCTGAGTCCTGCTCTCGGAAGCAGACCTCTGATGTCCCTTAGAGTCCCTAAGTGCAGTCATCAGGACCAGGAGTCTCCATGTGAGAGACCTTCCCCATGGGGATGGTCTTAAACTGGGCACAGGAGAGCTCTTCGCCAGCAAGTGGGGGTAGATGCTGATGTCAGGTCAGGTGACTCTGGAAGGCAGCCAGGGAGAAGGTGGTTCTGCATCAGGTACCAACGGGCCCAAGGTGCACATGCACATAGTGAACCCAGGCACTCTTACCGCCTGAGGAATGGGTGTTCCTTCCCTCTTCCGCAGCCCCCTGCTCCTCCTGAGCCGGCCCCCATGAGTCAATCACATCCTTCTGCTCTCAGGAGACAAGGATGTGTCTCCTCAGTTAAGCTCGACTTTCACCTCTATCACAATGTTGTGCCTAGAGATGGGTGGTGGGACTCTAGCCCTTGGAGTCTCGCGTTATGCAAACATGGGGTAGGAGTGAGGCCCAGTGTGAGGGGGTGGTTAGATGGGAAGAAGGAGGCCTCAGGGGAGTTTCTCCTGTGGGTCAGTTTCACTGCTAGCTCTCACACCCAACAACACCAATAAAATGGATGATAGTAATTAAGACTACATAATTACCTCGTGTTTATTTATTCCCAGGAAGCCTCCTTTCCCTGGCCCCCATCATTACCTATTCCATCCCTTCAGTAGGTGATGGGTGTTAACTATGGCTCTAATAAAAAGTAGTTAACTGTCCAAGTTTCCCATCCCCATGGCTCTGGGTAAGTCTGCTGTCTCCTTCACCTCAGCCCTGTGAAGCAGAAGGGAGGCTGCGCAGGGTGCAGAGGCATGGTCCCCATTGTCAGAGGGAGGAATGAGGCACTATGCAGAAGAGATACAAAGAATGCAGTCCTACATGCAAAGTTCTAGAAGCCACAAATCTTGCCTTCTCCTTCGAACCTCCCACCTTCTTCCCCCTATACATCTGCCCCTAGAGCTTCTCTGTTCCGTCTCCCCTTCCTGGGCCTTGCTCAGAAGACTGATCAAGCCAAGCATTCACCCATCCCCCACCCATCAGCCAGCAACCAATGCGGCCCAGGGAATATATTTCCTAAATGGTTAAAAAAGGGGGGGGGGAGGGAGGATCTTTGTAAAGGTCAAGACCTTGCATACAAAAATTAGCTACAAAGTGGCACTTGTCGATAGGATTCAGCTCTCAGGGATGTTTGTGCTCTTGACTCACAGGAAAAGGTGGAACTTCAAACTTCCGGTGAAGATGAAAGGGGGGGTGGCTGGGGGTTCTGCCCAGAATCTCTCAGATCATCACGGTCAGCCCACCAGGTATGCGGGCTCTAGAGAGGTATCCCAGAGAGAAGTCAACTCCTGAAACCCACTCTTCAGGGTGAGTCTCATGGGAGTGTTGAGTCCCTCAGGTTCCCTCTCCTACTTCCTCCCGGTCTCACTCTACGTCAACTCAGCGTCTTTGAGGCGCTTACGCATCTCCTGACCCAGTGCTGCAAGACCTGGATCCGTTGTCGCTCAGCCAAGCCTTCTTCCACTTGTGCATGAGCCTGGAAGCAGGGTCCTGCACCCATCCCATACCTTTTCCCATTTTACCTAAGGGAAAGACGAGGTAAAGGGGGAAGCCAGGTTAGAGCCGCGAAAACTCTGGACTCCGAGTATCCTTCGTTTCCTCCTCCCCACCTTTTTTGTTGCCGTTTCCCACCCCCTAATGTTTCCAATTAGGGCGGCTACTCAACCTAATGGGCCCCATCCACCGGTAGGAGGCGCATCGCCCCTTTAAGGGGCAGGCCCCTGGCTTCTCTGACCTCGCCCCGCCCCCTCCGCGGCCGTACTGCGCTTGCGCCAAGCGCCGGCGACCAGGGGTTGGGCAGAGCCTAGTTCCGTGCAACTTTCAAGTGAGTTGCAAACTCCGCCCCGAGGCCGGTACCGGTGGCTGGGCACCCTGAGACCGCGGGGACCCTAACGAGCGAAGGCCGTGACCGCCACCCGCGGCCCGGGACCCGCAGCAGCGCCACGGCGAGAGCCGGACACCTGGTTCCCCGCAGCAGGAAGTGCGGGGCTGAGCCGTAACTGCCCCAGGAGCGCGGCGGGGCGGAAGAACGCGGCGCCCGCCCTTACCGGCTCCCAAGTCGGTTCCTCCGAGCCCCGGCCTCCTCGCCTCAGCCCACGGGTCTCCCCGCTCTTCAGGCTCTGCGCACTGCGGAGTTAGGGGGCGGCGGG